GATGAAGAAAACTCTAGAAGCGTTCGTGCCCATGACTCTTTCTTCCCGAGATGTGGTCAAAACTATGTCATAACAAAAGAGATTTTTTTTATTATTGAAAAGTATCTTTGTGTTCATCAAAATAGTTTTAGATTATTCTTTATACAATCAGCTCTAGTAATAATTTGTTTTCTACAGTAAATTGCAGAAAACAAGCTATTATTAGAGCTAACTGTATAAAGAATAATCTAAAACTATTTTGATGAAAAAAAAGAAACTTTTCAATAATAAAAAATAAATCCCTTTTGTTATGACATTGTTTTGACCATATCTCCGGAAGGAAGAGTCATGGGTACGAATGCTTCTAGAGTTTTCTTAGTCTCATTGAGGTCTACCAGTAGCCAAAAGATGAAGCCGAAAGTTCGGAATCAATTGGAGTAGTTCTCTCGTAAATAGGAATTCACCATTCGAAACAAAAAAAGGAATGCATCGAATCGTGTCTTGCAGATTTTCTGATATGTTTTTCAGAGAGTTTTGGTTTGAACGTTATAGAAACTCATCTAGAGCATGAAGTCATCACAATAGATTTTCAATTTTGAGACATCCATTAGAACTATCGATCAAAGATCTGTACAACACGGCCAGTCGAACACTATTAGAACCCGTTCATAATGCATCATTGGCACTTACTTGCGAGAAGTTAAGCGATTTTTTGATAAAATTAGCAGAAATTTTTTTTTTTCGTTATATTGCGGTGAGAGTTTATTCTATAGATCCATCTAAGAACGTATATTTTTTGAATAAATCGGAAAAAATTCAAAAAATGTGTCAGAAATTCGATAAGACAGGACTTATTGCATTGTTACCTCCATCTTCCAATGATGAACACCGCATATCTCTACCATGCTTCTATCAAAAGATATTTATGTTTCTTTATTTGAAATGAATATTACGCAGTAAGTTTCAACTGCAGTAACGATTGGGGCTAAGAATCTTCAGAACTTTTCTTAGCTCCAGCTGTAGTAAACTCGCTTCTTAGTTTGAGAACCACGAGTCCCTCTTCAATAAATATTTGTTTTTGTGATGCCAATAAGTTTTAAAAAATTGGGATCCAATCGTTTTTTAAGTCCCCATTGTTGCCCAATCCTCAGGATAGTTTAGTTGGGAAACGGCCCAATGGTGAAAAAATCCTGGCTACGCCACTGGTATAATCAAATATTCCATAACCCAGAGCATGATTTTTGGACTGATAGATGACGCTAGTAAGAATACGAAAAACCATACGTTGGGCTATGATCAATCTGAGCATACCATTAGATAGAGCTCATCGAGTTGTACTTGGAACACCACTGGAACATTTCGAGCATGTTCCTAGACGAATATGGGATAGTTTTACTCGAATATGGTGCTAGCTTCACCTACGTATGTTTGATACAGGTCTTGTAAGCCCACATCGTCTATTGATTTGTAATGAAGTGTCAAATAGCGAGTTGAAAAGAACTTTTTTTTTTAATATTCATTTGTTCATCATTAAGATGAAATACAAACTGCATAGGTTAGTTGTATATAGTACATAAGAAAAAGTCAAGCTATTTAAAATAATAAAAAATACTGTTAAACCAATGACTTTGCTAATTTTATATTCGTCTTTTTGAACTCTTTATAGGTAAATTTTATTTCATTTGATTGAATGAAGGACTCTTCTTCTTCTTCTTTTTTTTCTTACAATATTCTCATGGTTATCGTCTAACCTTCAGGAACTATTTTGTAAGAAGCACGCGACAACAATTTATACATTTTTTTGTTTCATTAATACTTCTAACTTTTTTTTACCAACAATTAAAAAAGAATATCTTTAATATTTTTATGACAGATATATAAATTAATGATCATTAGGTTTTTTCTATTTTAAGAATTTATTTGTATTTTGTTGATTTGGAAAAATGGCAAAATTTGATTTAACGAATGCTCAATTTGAAGAAATCGATAAAAATCGAGATGGAATGTAGGAATTAAGAATTTTTATCACAATAATAAATTCATATATTTATATATTTAGTATTGATAAAAAGGAATTTCACAAATGGGCTCCAGGTGCTGAAGGCCAGCCTTATTCATCATATAAATCATCAACCAGTAGATTTTATCGTAATAGTTATAGTACAAGTCGATTTAATGAAAATAAATATAGAACTAATTATACAAATGCTTCGGAATATATGGCTGATGAATATGCTTCATATGGAACTACAGCAGTAGCTAGTGATCGGATTAATGATAAAGTGATTCATACAAGTAGTCCAGAAGAAACGGATGAATATCTTAAAAAAATAGCTAATATTTACAAGGATCCCAATCCACAAATTATTCGACGAACAATCGAACGTCCAGTAATGCATGAACAACGCGTTTTTCTTCGATATCTTCGACCACCTGTTCCAGAACCAGGAGTAACGAAACAAATTTTTACAAATTCAATCCTAACAATCTTTGTATGACTTTAGACGCTCACTATTAAAGAAGTGCGTCCACTCCAGCCACGACCGCTTTCACCACTTATTATACGTGAACAATCAGCAGCTCGTTCTTCACCACCTCCACTTATCTTACGTGAACGGCCACCAACACCACCGCCACCTGTTCCCGATGAAATAAGTTAAAAAAAAATTTTTAAATTAGATGGATTAGATTGATCAATGTATTTTACTTTACAGTTACTCACCGTTTACCTACTTCACCTGTTCAATCACGATCAGTTATCATCGAACGTTTTCCATCTCCTCCAGAAAAACCACGTAAAAGAATTATCTTCAGTTTTCTTTTTGCATTTTTTTGGGAAGTATCTATGTACACATATGTGTACATAGCCAAGTGACTATATATACATATGTGTAGATAGCTGTTTGCCTATGTACACACAAGTAGGTATAACCATCATATTAGTAAATATAAAATCATATTATTATCTTATATGTATAACTTTATTAATATATATTAATCCTTCGATTACCGTGCGAAAAAAACTCCGTGTAATACCATGCAAGAACATTTTTGTCCACTAATATAAATTGTCAAAATTAAACTTTATTCAATTTTATTATTTATATTTTGGTTAATATGATATATCAGAATTCTCACCACAAAACGTTTGCACAGTAAGAAGCTGCTATCGATTAATTTACCTTTTAGCTAAAAAATGATAATTTTTTACTCATATGGACAAAAATGTCTATGCATTGTATTCGAAGGGTTAAATATTTTATCTTTTTAATAATTTTACCCAGGTGATTCTCGTTCGGTTGGATTCCGTCGGATTCAAATAATTGCGTCCGTATCTTGTCGGATTTTTGTCGGAATCCCATGAGCCGGATTCCGACTGTCGGATCTGATCGGACACGTGCAAAATCCAATAGGATTCTGTCGGATTTTGTCAGTTTTTATCAGATTCCGACGAAATCCGGACCGGAATTCTGTGCAAGGATTGCTTGTCTTGGGTATTTTATTAATTCTTTATTACGTACAAATTAAGCATAAAGTACATAGTACAATTACACAATTATACAAAAAAAAATTTAAGTTAAATAAAGATCAATTAATTTAGAAGCATCTCTAGTGCTTCCTCTTTTGGACTTCGAAGGAAATGGTTGAATTTCATTATTTTCAATACATTTGACATAATGATTACGTGAAGATTTTTGACGATAAAAATTAAAGATGGAATATCTTTATAACAAAGAGAAGTCACAAAAGCCAAAGCAAATAATCCACAATCATTACCACCAATTTATTGTTGCACACTTTCAAATGAAACCAGAACTTTTTCTTCATCAGGTAAGATGCCTTTAAAAAATTTAATAACTGATTCTTTTGGATAACTTAATGAATCATAAACTTTCCAAATATTATTACTATCTAAATTTGAAATTGTTACCCAGTGATTATTATTTGCATTGAAAACAAAAATCAAGTTCGCTAATGACCGTGTGTATAAATGAATTTGTACAGGACCACACAGCCCATTAGTATTTGGAAATTGTTTATGTAATAATTCGAAAAATAAATATATATGAAAATCAGTTAACCATGTTATTTTATCATAAACATCGCGAATTAATTCTAACTTTTTATTCCGTTTAACATTATATCCCTTTAAATCTGGTGAAGTTTGTTTATAAGTTCTTTTTTTATTAATTTGAACTTTATCGTTGATGTTATCTTTTTTCTTATAAGCAACTAAGGATTCCTTACCACGTTGTCTGCCGTGAGGTTTAATTACTGGCGAGTAACTGAGAACCAATTTTTCTTTTAATAATGTATGTGATTGTTCTTCCTTTAGTTCTGGTTCTAATTGTAATTTTGGTAACTGTTCGCTATCTTCTTGAGAAAATTTTGCAACATGTTCTTGTTTTAATTCTTGACCTTGATTCGATTTCACAGCATTTTGTTGTTCAATTTCTTCTTCTATATGGTTAAATTTTGCTTGTTTTGCTGTTGGCCCTTCCTGTGTATCATCAGGTGGATTTTTAAATGGTTCTTGTTCGACATCTTGATCTTGCTTTTTGGAATATATGTGTTTTAAAGAATCTCCATAATTGTACAATTCTTTATGTTTGTTTAAATTAATTAAATCAACAATAACATTGAGAAAGTTTAAATGCTCATTAAATTCATTGGTCCCAGATTGAATGATGCGAGCTGTTAATAGATCTAAAGTTGGTTTAACATTATTATACTTATCATTACTATTTATAATTTTATTTTTTTGAGCTGTAACTTGAGTAACTATAAATTGTGGATCACAATTTTGTACATTATCGTAACTATCGATATGATTTAAATAATAATTAACTGAATTTTTTAAGCAGCGTTTATTAAGTAAAATAATTTTTTGTATTTCATGTGTTTGATCATATATTTCATCATTAATTTTATTAAGCACGACTATCATATGACGACAGAGTAATTGATTTTGTAAATAAAATTGACAATCACAACATAATACGCTTTCGAATGAATCGCAATAAATTATACTTGAAGTTATATAATGATTTTCTTCTCCGTCTTTTTGGCCGATTTTCCATCTATTATCTTCGAGTTCTTCTACAAAATAATGTTTAAGTTTAATTTCATCATTTTATTAACGTAATAATTCAACAGCTTTGTTTGTCATTTGCGAACCAAATCTTTTAAGTAACATTGAATCATCAGAATTGTAAATCTTTTGTTTTAGACTAATATTTAAAATCATTTCTTCGGCTTTAATATCATCAACAAGTAAAACTAATTTTGTAACGCATTCAGATATATGCATGTTAGATGATATGTGATCTTTAAGTTTTCGATTAAATCGTTCAAGATGATTATTAGTATCAGTATCAAAGTTAAATAGATTTTTACGATATTTTGTTTGCCACATTTCGTAGCACGAGAGTCAATTTTTTTCAAAATATTCATAAAAGTCAGTTTCTTCCGAATTATTTTTAATTTCTTTTAAATAAATAGCCCACATTTGATCATTATCATAAAGTAATTTGCGAATGTTCTTCATAATACTCATTCGATTTGTTAATGTTGTATTACACGTTGAGAATGAATATAATACACTTTTTAATATTATAATAGTATTCATTTAGTACTATAAATCAGATTATATTAAATCGATCCATTTGAATATAGAAATTATCAATTCATTTCGTTTGATTTGTAAAAGTATTGACAAGCTCAATAAAGAAAAGATCAACGTGGGGATTAATTAATTTATCTTAATGAAAATTATTTTCTTAGGTTGTAAGCTATTGGAATTTTCATATTTTGAAACGTTCTATTTTTGGAGCTAATTAAATAAGAAAAAAATATTTTTCGTTTTATAATTGATCAACAGAAAAAAAATGATGCAATCAAGGGAAAACAAAAGCATTGACACTAGATGGTTTCCACTTATCCATTGAAAGTAATGAAATTCAAACATTTCCTTCGAAGTCCAAAAGAGGAAGCACTAGAAATGCTTCTAAATTAATTGATCTTTATTTAGCTTAAATTTTTTTTGTATAATTGTACTATGTAATTTATGCTTAATTTGTACGTAATAAAGAATTAATAAAACAAAATTATTAAAAAGATAAAATATTTAATTCATATTAATAAAGAAATATATATTAGATGATAATATGATTTTATATTCACTAATAAGATGGTTATACCTACTTGTATATACATAGGCAAACAGCTATGTACACATATGTGTACATAGACACTTCCTTTTTTTTGAAATTTTAGATTCTTGTTTCTTTGCTATTTAGGCGATATTATAATTGAACGATGGCTTCCCTATGACCGTCCAACTCAACGCCATTCAATCATTGAACCTGATCCTCGTGCTCTTATATATCCAAAACCGCGTAATCAGGTTGTTATTTATGAAGCTGTTAAATCATGTATATGTCGATAATTTCAATACCTTGGTGTTAGCCCAGAAAATCCTGCCGATTATGTAGCTCGTTATGAGGCGTCACTTTTAGACGCAGCAACAGTTATTCAACAGGCTCGTGATTAGAGTCCGTCAGATAGGGCCTGAACCCATACCCGGATCCGGACCCGAATGGATCCGGATCCAAATATCACGGAACTTTAGTATATGCTAAACGGTTTCTCAAGACCATATGAGATTTTTGTAAAGTTCCGTAAACTTATAGGCTTCGTTTAGTAATCGTTCCAGTTCCGTAGCTGAAAGAGTTTCGTAGAAACCTTTTCAAGGTATCATATTCAAAAGGTTTTGTACTAAACTATTTCATATATCATACGAACAAATATTTAGTATTCAGAAAACCGACCGATCTCAATCTCTCTATCGTTTTAATTACTGATCAATGTCTAATGAAGTTTGCACATTTCATTGCTATTTTCCTTTGAATTGGTATGTTTCGATGCTAATCGTTTTCCTGAGACAATATAGAAAGCTCATTAATGTCATAACTTTTGCTCTTCATTCTACTTTTTCGCAATGCCTATTGTTTCAAACTATTTGCAATTTTAATCAGTAACTTTTATCCTATCATGAGCACATTTATTTTTAAAAAGTTATTCTCCTTGCAACGTTTATTTTCATGTCATTTTAATCCGCTAGAATGTTACTTTGCCACAACATGACACTTGTCAATGCTGGATTTAATTGAGACACTGGTAATGTATATACACATAAACGCAGATATTAGACCATTAGTAGAAGTATAGGAGGTAAACATAGATCTACACGAATATCGGCAGCTATAGAGGAACACAGAGTATCAATTTTGTCATCAATATATATATATATATATATGTGCTAGGCATGAATATAGATGTTAAAAGCACATAGCTTAATTTAGAAATACATATAAAAGTTAAGTCATAGATGTAAGCCTTCATGGTTAGTTTTAAGGATTAAGTCATACACATAAATATTTAGACATAGATAAAAAGATTACATATTGACATAACGATCTCAGCATTGTTACAAGAAATTATGTATAGAGGAAAAGAGCTAGACACAAATATCTCACGCTAGTAATAGTTTTCAACGTTAAAGTATCGATATAAGTGGTTACATATAATTTTTAGTCATCATATATAGCTATAAAGGTTTAGAAATCGTTTTAAGAATTACCCTATATATAAAATCGTGAGGTAGAGTTCTAAGACATCTCATAACGGTATAAGAAGTTAGACATAGTTTTAATGGTTAAGACATAGGTATAAAAGATTAGATATAGTTTTAAGAATTAAGGTATAGATACAACGATTTAGATAACATTCTAAGGATTTAAAGCATAAATATTACGAGTCAGCAATATATGTAAGGGAATATTCATAGTTTCCAGGGTTAAGTCACAGATATCAGAGTTAGACATTCTTTCAAATGTCAAGACATAGAATAAGGGTTCTACTAGGGATGTCAGTATATCAATACAGTATTGAAGTGTTTATATTCATATTGGTATTGATTCTCTATCTGAAGAGAAGTAAAAGCCGAAATTTTGAAAAACTGATTACGGATTCGGATTCTCTGACCCCGAACTCTTTGCATGAGACCTTATAAACAATCGTTACTGCCTCAAAATAGTCTTCCCCTGATGAAACAAACAAGCTTGAGAGTTTTTAGAAACTATCATAAGTTCGTGTTCCTTTTTTTCATCAGAGAAAGGTTATTTCGAGAAGGTAACAAGTTTTTATAAAGTTTGAACAAAAGTTTCTCCAAGCTTGAAGAATCCGAATCTACAACCGGTTTTTTCGAAATTTCCGAGTTTAACTTCTTTAGGTAGCGAGTCATCACATATATTATCAATACCAATACCAGTCAATACCAGATGATATTGGTAATGTTACATCCTGAGGTTAGACCAAGGGGGAACAAACTGATTTCGATCGCTGAAATCAGTTTGAAATCACCTGAAATCAGTTTGAAATCACCTGAAATCAGTTTGAAATCACCTGAAATCAGTTTGAAATCATCTGAAATCACCTGAAATCAGTTTGAAATCACCTGAAATCAGTTTGAAATCACCTGAAATCACTTGAAATCACCTGAAATCAGTTTGAAATCACCTGAAATCACTTGAAATCACCTGAAATCATATGAAATCATCTGAAATCATGAAATCATGAAATCAGTTTGTTCCCCCTTGGGTTAGACATAGTTTTAAGGCATAGAATAAGGATTTAGAGTGTCAAGAGTTAAGCTATAGAATAAAGGTTTACATTGTGTTAAAACATAGAATAAGCATTTAGGTGTAGGTTTATGGATTAGGATAGAGGTAGAAGCGTTCGAGATAGGATTCAGAGTTACGCGCAAGCAGAGTTTATATCTAACATAGATCTAGATAGATCGATTTGGGTTTCAAGAGTAAGTGAATGAATAGAATGGTATTAGATTGAATTTCGTGCAAAATCTTGGATATGAAACCTTTTTAGAAGCCATCGAAAAATATTGTTGTACAGAACCTGGAATATGAAACGTTTTTTTATAGTAGATAAAAAACGGTATTGTACAAAACCAAAAATAGATTTAGAATTCATTTCAAATCTCTGAATCCTTTTTTAGCTTCGTATAGTACTTTTCTTTTTTCAGTGTAAGATTCGGATCCAAATCAATTTTCGATGCATATGAGAATATTTTTCGAAGTTCTACTTATCTTCAGTTTTCTCTGAACAGTTAGTTGCTTTTGGTTGTTAGCGTTTCAAATAACTTGTTTCTGTGTTCAATAGAACACTTTGGTTTTGTGTCAGAGAGACGAGATCTAGTCCGGGTCCAAAAGTCTTGAATTCAACGGGCTCTACTCGTGATGCTGGTATTATTGGAGCTATAGTGAATTTTTTTCTAAAAAAAAGAAAACGCCAACAAAACAAATATATATAAACTTTTTATTGTAGTCCTGTTCGCCACGATCATCTTCAAAATATACAAATATACGCAGAAAGACTTTAGATTTTGATAAGTCAAATGAAACAATCACTCGAGGTTTTCCATCATCAACTGGAACTAATTGTGGAGAAATTCGACGAGGTGCTGATACAGATGCTTTTAAGGTTGATAATACAAGTTATTCATCATCATCAGCCAGCTTGATTGGTGACAGTACTTTAGCTGGCAATATTAGTAAAACCCAAAGTGGATATCATGGTAGTGGTGTTAGTCTTACTGGTATTTGTGCCGATGTGAACACCCACTCTTGTATAATTAATGTGTGCACTGTAATTTCTCCTTTCTGTCATCACTAATCTTACGCCATCATGCATTATGTATAATTTAGATTATCATCTATTAGCCATTCTACTTTATCTATGTGCGTAACGTGTGCATTCCTTTTTCTTTTTCTCTCTTGCTCTCTCTTTCTCTTCGGTTGATTGACTCGCCGCCGGGGAAAAGATGGTGACTATAATAGAATGATGTAGTTTGAAATAAAGATAGTTGAAAAGACAATATAGCTTTTGTCAGGTCATAGCAAGTGAGCCAAACATGCTAACCAAAGAAATGTGGTTCACTTCATATAAAGAAAATCGACCAATCAAAATGCGACTCCTTAGTTTACCACGATCGAACCATTTTTTCGAAAACAGAACAGTATAGTGCTCACGACCCGGAAGTGCCATTCTCAAAACAGAACAATAGTACTCACAACCTAGAAGTGCCATTCCCAAAACAGAACAATAGTACTCCAACCGGGAAGTGCCATTCCCAAAACAGAATAATAGTACTCATAACCCGGAAGTGCCATTCCCAAAACAGAACAATAGTACTCATAACCCGGAAGTGCCATTCCAAAAACAGAACAATGATATTTTGATGCCGGAAGTACCATTCCCATAACAGAACAATTGTATTCTGTTATGGGAATGGCACTTCCGGGTTGTGAGTACTATTGTTCTGTTTTTGGGAAGGACACTTTCGGGTTATGAGTATTATTGTTCTGTTATGGGGATGGCACTTCCGGTATCAGGGTACTATATATATAAAATGGGTATAATATGGACTAATAGACTCAACCTTGGCTCACTTCATATAACCTAAAAATGGTAAAGTATGGATTTTGGACTACAGTTTGAATAGCGCCAACTTTGGTTCACTTCACGTGACCCTTTTGTCATTACACTTCCCCTCGGACAGAAAAAATTGCCTTTTTCTATTAGCTCGTTCTCCTCTGGTTTTTATTATTATATCTTCATTCATATATCTATGGATAGAGCAAAGAGTAAACTACACATATATATATGTAGTCCATTTGATTGGCTTATTATTTCAAATTTCTTCGACATATACAAAAAGGTCCCATTTTCGTGACATTCGACGAACAAAAAGTAATAATTTAAACTATAATAAGATATGAAAGTGGGTCAAGAAAAGATGACAATTCCGACGAGACAGAAGAGAATGTGTATCCAGACAAGTGGACGAGACAAAAAAGAATATATAGACCATAAAGAACAAAGAAAAAAAATGAAAGATAAGTAGGGCATCATATATATATACACTACTTGTCAAAAGTATCTCTCCTCTCGGATCTCAGTCACGATATCAGCTGTAGGTCTGAAAACTAGTGTACATATAGTTCTCGATGAATGCTGATCAGCGATACCATCTGCATCTCGATTGCCTGAAGTATAAGAAAGTTATAATGTATGCGGTCTATCTTCACTGTGGACTTCATAACTCAGGAACGGAAAGACTTTAGAGATCGGAATCGGTTTCATTATGTAGTTCTGCTCTTTGACTATCTGTGGTAAAAGTTTCATCGAAATTCAATGAGTCGTTGTGAAGCTAGAACCATTTTACTGTAAGTATCAATATATGGCAAACCCGACCTATCCCATTGTGTACTTCATAAATCAGTGAAAGTTCAACAGATCGACTTCAAACGTACAGGAGAGGTTGCTCCACAGACCCTTATTGTTTTCTGAAAATTTCAGACTTATATCACATACTAGAGAGAAATGGCACTATGCACAAGTTCCAGATGTTGTCATAGGTCTAGCTACTCGGATACTCAAGCAATTGGCCTTATTTTTTGGGTACATAACTAACACATAAGGGCGCACAATTCTACCAAAAAGAAGTTAAAAAATTCACCAGGTACCATGGAAAACAAGACATAAACTTTTTATGGTCAATTTTTCTCTTACTGTCCCACTCTCAAGATAACGGTGTCAAAATGAACTTGTGAGGATACTATGTTCGATATACAGAAGAATTTAAAAGCATTTATCTATCTAATTCAACTCTCTCGAGGGTCTTCTGATAGTTTCCATCATGATGGTGAATCAGAGTATGTATGGGAGCAAGAGTATGGGTGAAAATTGGTATGTGATTGTGCAAGAGATACGAATCCACACTTTCACTCCCTTTCTTCTTCAGCTCTGTCAGAATGAGAGAAAAATTCATTATAAAAAGTTTATGTCTTGTTTTCCATGGTACCTGGTGAACTTTTTAACTTTTTTTTGGTAGAATTGTGCTCCCTTATGTGTTAGTTATGTACCCAAAAGATGAGGCCAATTGCTTGAGTATCCGAGTAGCTAGACCTATGACAACATCTGGAACTTGTGCATAGTGCCATTTCTCTCTAGTATGTGATATAAGTCTGAAATTTTCAGAAAACAATAAGGGTCTGTGGAGCAACCTCTCCTGTACGTTTGAAGTCGATCTGTTGAACTTTCACTGATTTATGAAGTACACAATGGGATAGGTCGGGTTTGCCATATATTGATACTTACAGTAAAATGGTTCTAGCTTCACAACGACTCATTGAATTTCGATGAAACTTTTACCACAGATAGTCAAAGAGCAGAACTACATAATGAAACCGATTCCGATCTCTAAAGTCTTCCCGTTCCTGAGTTATGAAGTCCACAGTGAAGATAGACCGCATACATTATAACTTTCTTATACTTCAGGCAATCGAGATGCAGATGGTATCGCTGATCAGCATTCATCGAGAACTATATGTACACTAGTTTTCAGACCTACAGCTGATATCGTGACTGAGATCCGAGAGGAGAGATACTTTTGGCAAGTAGTGTAACTATTTAAGTCGATGAAAAATCTTGAATAAACCATATTTGATAAAAATGAACAAAATTCATTGAGATTCGAATGATTATCAGATATTTTTGGAAGGAAAATGAGAATCTTTGATTGAATAGAAATGAATTCTTCATCCATATTTGATAAAAATATTCTTTCAAATCAATTTCAAAGAAATGAGAAACGCTATCTTAATGAAAAGTTTTGGTTGGAATGACTTGAATTCTAAAGGAGACAAAGGAAATTCTTTTGGGATTTCTTCAATCATTTGTTGAGTTTAATCTGTTTTTATTCCATTTCCTGATGAACGATTGATTGATTTTCATTGAAATTCGAATGAATTTTTTGTGAATTTCTTTTATTAAAAATCAAAACCGATTATTATCAAAAATTTGAATAAGAAATAGTTCCAGATGATTGTCATTTTCTCTTTGCAAATAAAGGAAAATTTTCGCTGGTTTTTTTCTCATGGAGAGAGTCTGATAATTGATTTCAATTATCAGTTTGAATGTGAGTCGAATGAAGTGATTTAATAAAAAGAGAATTTGTTTGAATTGTGTTAAATTCATTTCATATCAATTGGAATGGAGGTACCCAAATGCAAAGATAAACATTTTTGTTTTGAAGAAAATTTTCTCCCTCAATGTGAAGAAAAACTTTGATGAGAAATGAAATCTGAATGTCGATTATATTTGAATTTGATATGAGATATACATCGTTGTTACTTTTCTTTGATTCGATTAAGGCCCCCCCACCACTCAAAAATCGATCTCAGCCCAAGAAAGTTCAAATGGGCTGAAACTTGGAGCATATGTTGGGGCTGAAGTGAGGAGGCTGTGATAAAATTTTCAGCTCGATACCCTAATGTTTGACAGAGATATGAAACAAACAAAGGCCAAAAATAGCTCATTTGGCAATCCATTTTTCTTTGTCCAGGCTCTTTCAATGTATTTAATTTTTCTTTGTTTGAAAGAGCATCTCAGGACGCAGTGCAGTACAGAGTCCTTTTTTTTAAATTCTTACTTTTTTAGCGAAAAAAGGGAATCACAAGTTCAATGACTCAAAAAACGCGCCAAAAATGGGTGTCTAATTACATATATGACTGTATATATAATAAAAAATAAAGCTTAATTAAAAAAAGGACTCTGTACTGCACTGCATCTTGACGTGCTCTTTCAAACAAAAAAAAATTAAAATATATTGAATGAGCCTGGACAGAGAAAAATGGATTGCGCGGTTCAGAAAGCCTAAACTGAGAAAAAACGAAAAACATTTTTCGTTTTTTTTAAAATAAGCATATTTTTCAAGAAGAGCTTAACAAAAATCATCGAAAACTTTGACCAAAAACGAGGTGCCGAAGAAAAACCAATATGATTTCTGAAAGAGCAGAAGACGGGCTATCTTCCGATGCATTTATCTCAATTTCGATAATTTTGACGAAAATTGATTTTTTTTGAGTGGGGGGGGGGCCTTAAGAATTAGCTATTATTAAAAAGATGCCTTCTCTTTGTTTTTTCTTGTTTGGTACTGAAGCATTGAGAAAACGTCAACTTCAACCGATGTACTACAAGCACACACATACAAACTTATTTTATTTCATGTGGTCGTCCCTTCAGTCGAAGGAAATCTGAGAAGAAATTGACACCAGCTCTGATGCGAAATTTTTTTCACATTCTGCCCCCTAATCTTGTTCATCTCTTAACAATATTGGATTCAATGGATATTTTTCATGAACAACTGAAATAAGAGATTTGACGTTTTCTCTCTAAAGATAAGACAGCATTTGGTTCAGACATCTTCATGATTTTATTAATCCAACTCATAAATACAGAGATGACATACAAACACAAACCCAAACGATATTCAATATTCATTCTTCATTTTCCGCCGATCATACATACGCAAGGTGGAACAAATGGACAGATACACATAGTTTTATGAGGGCATCTTTTATCACCCCACCCACTGCATGTTGCTTGTGAATCATCTATAGGACCAGCTTGAACCAATATTGTATAACAACTAATGATGAATATCATCATTATTGCAAGTATAATCAATTTTGCGGAAGCCATTATATTAGATTTCGATGTTGTTGGAAGATGAAACGACAAAAGTGGTTGCTGTGTGGGTAGCTGCTTCGTCTTTTATTGATTTGAGAAGAAGAAGACAGCTGATTTTATTCTCATAAGCACATCCACCTTTCATCATCGTAAGATAAGAAAGAAAACATTACTTTTTAAGTATTCAATTTTGATTAGGGTGTGGGTGTGGGTATAGGTGTGGGGTGAGTGTGGATAAAACGAAGACTCCGACACTCACATCTACACCCGAATTTCGACTATTACTAATTCGGGTGTGGGTGTGGGTGGGGTGTGGGTGTGGGTGTGGGTGTGGGTGTAGAGTGTGGGATGTGGGTATGAGTGAAGAGACGATAAACACCCACACCCAAATAAATTCCTGTATCGTTTAGAAGTTCATTATGAATTCGAATGGAAAAATCTAAAACAAAATTGAATAGTAAAATTATTATTTTAATTACTTTTGAAATTGCTTCTTGTTCTTTCTTATTTGTTTCAAGCATTTCTTCTAATGAAAGTGGTACACTCTTTGTTGTATTTGTTCTATGAACTTCACTACTATTTGTTGTTGTTATTTCATTAACTGTTGATTCTTCTCGTTCAATTCATCATCGCCATTTTGTTTCTTTTTACTTTACTAAGTTCATTGTTTTTCGACGTTTTAAACTGAAACACACAGAATTAATCAAACTGCATACTCAGATGATTTCGATTGTTTATGTGATGAATGTCGATATTCTCTGTAAAATTAAATTGATAACTATTTCAAAAACAAATTCAAGTAATATACCTTTCTTTACTTGTACTTCTATGTCGTTTTTTTAAATCACGAGATGGTGATGTACTTTCAACCATTCTTTATCTGAAATAACAAGAAAAAGATATATATATTCATCAGACATACAGAATCTACCCGTGTGCGCGAACGGTCATTTGGAGAAATTTTTAAAAATTTGGTAGTATCGGGGAAAATTTTTGAAAATTTAATAGCATCTGAGGAAATTTTTTGATAAGTATTTTCTCTCATGGGAGAAATTTTTCAATGAATCCCAGTTTATTTATGTATACATCGATAAGATCTTTTACTTTTCTTTTGAATAAACTTCTGAAAGACTCATCCATGTCTCTATCGTAGTGTCAATATCGCCTACCTTTGTTTACTTTTATCATGCATCTTGCTATTTCTTTCACTCTGTCTCTTCGTGCCAATTCTTGATATAACACGCACTGTTTGTGTTCTCTTATTTTCTTTCTATAATTCTGCCTAATGGAATGCCACTACTTACTGTTTTTTGTTTCTCTGTTGCTACATACAGTTGCTATTGTATGTGCATATGCGTACACAAGCACTAGGATGACTAATATATGATCATCAGCAACCGAACTGAACCTTTGTTTTTGGTTGGAGTTCAGTTCAATTCGAATTTACTTTTGAAAAATTATTTTTGGTTCGGCTCAGTTCAACTTCATTTTTGAAAAGTAGTTCGAGTGTGGTTCTCTTCTAGTAGTCCTAGTTCCATCGAATCAGGAGGGTACGATAGGCAAAAATTCGACTCTGAAATGATTAGCGTGTCATTTTGGAGTTGATATTGGTGTAAATTAATACTTATTGCAAATTCACTCAATAATTATTTTAGCCGAATGAAAGATAGATAATGACTATTTCATATAAAAAACTGAACAATACCAAGTTTGAAAACTTGTTTCTCCTGTTTTAGTTAGTTTAAATTGTTTACGAAAGGTACAAGTAATCAGATTACCTGAACCAAACGATATTAAATAGTAGCATTTTTTTAATGTTTATTTACAATGTGTTAAATAGTGGTAGTTGTTTTATTTTGAATAAATATCTTCAACAAGAAAACTCGCTTTTTAATTGAATTTTATAGCGGGGAAAATTTTTTGCAAAAATGTTGCCGTTCGGCGAATTTTTTTATTTTATCGGCAGATTCTGCACCCCTGATATTCATATACAAGTTTCAATTGAATCCTATGAAATATCAAAGATATTAAGTAATTTCACTCGCGTTATTTCAAGTCTTTCATTAATTCCTAATTTATATATTATATTACAGTCAGCAACAAACGTTTAAGCGAACATGTCGGAAAAGACGAAAAGTGAAATCAGTTCTTACAAATTCTCTCTTATCGCAATTTATTATACGCTATTAGAAAGAGTATGCAAAACTGTGCATTTGAAGTTCTAATATTACTAGTTTTTCACGTCCATCTATTTGAAAAAAGTTTTGAAAACATGACTAATTTTTGTTTTAGCCAGAATCTCTTGATTAGGAAATGCAAAATACTGGAAATTGCTAAAACTTCTTTTCTTTTGGAAAAAAAATTATTTTTATTATAAAAAATCTATATAGACAGATCAGATCCCCGTCTATATCGCATAATGTAGCCAATCCCACATACTATCTATATCACCATTTGAATCAGATCAGTATCTCCTCATGCAACAAAAAAATTGAATGAAATAAATTCGCTTAAACTTTTGTCACTGACTATATTCAATAATTCACTTTCTGCTATTCATGCTAAAGTTTCTAATAATCTCTTTGACAGATAAATAGAACTTTTTAATTTTTAATTTTGTTTTCATTCACAAAACATTGATCAATTGATTTTAGATCAATGAAAATTTATCTTTATGCTAATATTCATAGTTAAGTTACTCATCAAATAGAATTTTTATAAGACGCAATCAAAATTATTGTTCTTAAGAATATAGAAATGAAAATGTGCTTTTTTACTTCTTCTCATCAACTAACACATACCCACACCCTTAGCAATATCATGTATGAATTTATCAAAAAGAAAAATCAATTGAAACAATATTCAATCATAATTCTTTCAATGAAACAAGCAATCTATAAGGAACAACTGATGAACGATTAACAGTGTAATATTCAATTTTATCATTTGAAATAAATGGACAAATTGGATCTTTGCCTCGTCCTACTGTTTCAGCTTGTACACAAAATGTTTTAGGTTTCTGACGACATTGGAAGACAATTTTTGCTTCATATTTTTTTCCAGACGAATCCGTAAAATTATAACGAACACTATATACATTTAGACTTGCATAAAGGATTGATGGTGATGTATATAGATGAGCTTTTCCTGGAATGTGTCCTGGTCGTATACTAAGAGGTTTACCATTCAATAGTGTATCACCTGGCAAAAGGAATTGACGATGGGCTAAAATGGATTCAGCAGCAATAGTACTTGTACCATGATATGTGACGATCCATTCTTCCCATAAATTATGATAATCCACAAGTGTTGTATCGACTTGCAATCCAAAACCAGCCCAACCGCGTGGTACTACATAATCTTCACCAGCTGCTGATATTACATCAGGCAATGGCAATGAATAGCATTTCCTACAGTAACACCGATCGTGAGCAGGTCGAAAGAAGCAGTCTTTCCACCCGAGTGCTTGCACATATTCACGACACAGTTTGAACCACCGACAATGGTTAAACGCTGATAACACAATCGCTTTAACCCGCGGTGTTGGAGCACGTGAGATTGACATCGATGTATCAGTAGATTGTGCTCGATTCGAGTTAAGTTGTGTTCTGAGATTGAGCTTTGAAAAAGTATTGTCCAGTTCTTCATTGTTCGAATTTTCGCTGCTAGAAGAAAATTCGAAACTTTCAGTATGACTTGACATCGACAAATGTGTTTTAAGAGAATGAGAGCTCTGCGTTGCATTATTCAGTTGTTTACATGACCAGCAACAGTAATCTTGGCCTAAACAAGCATCACAATTTTTCTAAATATTCACTTCCTCGAAATGTAGGTAATACAAAAAAAAACTGAACGCGTTTTGAATAATAAGAGCACATCGACAGTGATTATCTTCTACGGCTAGATGTGTTTGTGTAATTTACTTCCGAACAATACGAATAATCAATTTATAAGAATTAGCGTTTCGAATGAGATCGAATGATCACATCCTATAAAACGATTTTTGTTCTTGAAATATTTGAGGGCATTGTACGACATTTGTCTGTTTCATGAGATGGAATTGTCACCCCATGGGATATCCTTCTTTCCTCGCTCATGAAAAAACGCGCCTATTATCTGATGAGATATGTACTCTAGGTACTTTATTGTTACGACAGGTAATAGAACTCAGTATACTCTCATCATTGATCTGTTTCATCAATAGAAAGTTTCATTTGTTTTTTTCTTTCCTTCTTGCATTTTTTCACTTAAAAAGTTTTATACTATTATACAAGTGTAAACAATGAAAAACAAAATTAATTTTATGCACTGCTATGCGTTTCAAGGTCATTTTTAGTTGGAAACACTCTTCCTTTATATTAGTTGATTATCTGGATAAAATGTTTTGGATAGCAAGAATTTTTACTATATCCACTTCATATTAATCTTCAGCACATTTTGTCACAGATTCTAATTGAAGACTAACGAGTAATATATAGAAAATCTCGATGAGCTTTTATCGAATCATAGCAATAACACAATTTACCAGAGTTCTCAGGTATCCGAAGACTTCCACTAGATTATGAAAAGATCTTTAGAGACCATCTCGAGCCTCAGACAACTAAGTAAACTCATGGTAAGCTAAGAATTCAAGAACTCACAATACACTCAAAAGACTCAAAAGATGTAACATTCCTTCTTCATACGTGATGTTTAGTGTTGAAATAATGATAGGAAAACAGTGGACTATGAATCCTGGCAAAATCCAGTAACTTCAGGCGACTATTAAACAATTCTAGTGAATTCACTATCGTATTCGCTGGAATTTAACATATCGTAATGCTCTAAATGGCACATTTCAATGAGTTCTGATTTTTCTTGCAGCTTTGACAAATAATCTTGTCTATTTTATTTTTGGTACTTTTTTCGAAGAGAAGAGAAAATCCACATAATTAGAATTATTTGATAGAGCTACAGAGAGAGCCAGAGCGTCTTTAGAAAAGAAGAAAAGCAGGACCATTGTAATAATCTGCATAGATCCGCTGTTTTTTTTGGAGAAACAAGTAAGATTCATGTGAATCATATAAAAATTTTAAGTACCAACTTTTAAAACTAATCTAGAGGATGACAGATAGAAGTAGACTGATAAGAGAGATTTGGAAAGTCATGGCCACCAATTTAACACTTAAAAAAATCCTGATATTGGAGGGATCATTCTATGGGATCCATGACATGCGATGGAACATATCAGCTGATCACATGAAATGCATTATTGGTTTCATCCCATCGTATTCCTCTCTGAATCTTAGCTGGACAGTTCGCTTACAAGAATTACTAGCAAAAACAGTACCTTGTTTATAATTGCAATCCGTCCAAAAGTTTGCAGCGTTACAATGTGGACAGTTTACTTGTTGAAACTGTTTCTGACAGCTCCAGCATGAGACTGTAGCACCCTGTTGATAATTCGTTTCCTTCCAGAAGTTGTCAATATTACAATGTGGACAGTTTACTTGTTGAAATTTTTCCTGACAGCTCCAGCATGAGACTGCAGGACCCTGTTGATAATTGGCTTCCTTCCAGAAGTTGGTAGTATTACAATGTGGGCAGTTTACTTGTTGAAATTTGTTCTGACAGCTCCAACATGCATATGCGAGACCCTGATGATAATTGGCTTCCTTCCAGAAGTTGGCAGTATTACAATGTGGACAATTCACTTGTTGAAATTTTTTCTTACAGCTCCAGCATGAGACTGCAACACCCTGATGATAATTGGCTTCCTTCCAGGAGTTGGCAGTATTACAATGGGGGCAGTTTACTTGTTGAAATTTTTCCTGACAGCTCCAACATGCATATGCGAGACCCTGATAATAATTGGCTTCCTTCCAGGAGTTGGCAGTATTACAATGTGGACAGTTTACTTGTTGAAATTTGTTCTGACAGCTCCAACATGCATATGCGAGACCCTGATGATAATTGGCTTCCTTCCAGAAGTTGGCAGTATTACAATGTGAACAGTTTACTTGTTGAAAGTCTTTTTGACACTTCCAGCATGCGTATACGAGACCCTGCTGATAGTTGGCTTCTTTCCAAAAATTACCAGTAGTACAATGCGGGCAGTTTACATATTGAAATTTTCCGTGGCATTTATAGCAGGCAATAACAATGCCTTGAGCTTCGTCTTGATTTGACAAGGATAGCTGTGCTGAACAATGTTGACAGTTGAAGGAATAAGTTGTCATTTGAGTTCTAAAATCAAGAGAAGTCAGTAATTACTTGATTGAAAAAGAAAATCATTTTTGCTTCTAGATTACCAGAGGTTATTGGTTGAGCAGGTGAGTGCAGGGTGTGGTTGTGACTAACATGTTACACCACAGTAATAACTCCAACAAGCGCCTAAGCAACTTCTACTCGACACTCCACACCCATACCCTTCTGTCAAAACACATAGAATTTTAAAAGTTTGCGCTTTTATTATGGTATGTGATTCTAACTTGTCATGCCTTGGCAGAAACTTATAGTGGTAGAGTCATCGCATATCACAACTGTGGAAATTGCAAGTATATAAAATTAAAAATTAACTCATAGAAGATGATGTTATAATTGTCGCTCACTCGATAGTCTTTCATTTCGTATCATGCCTTTTTGAGCGTAAACAACCGTTTCTAGCAAAGCGATGGCGAAAAATACGGTTATCTGTAAACATCGTTCTTTGAAATCATCCTATCTTCTTACTGTAGATGTGATCGTAGCATTCGCTCAATGTCTAAAGAGTAGTCGAATGTGAATGTTAGGTGTAGTTAAGAGTGTGGTGCGCTATAGGGTGGATATGAGCGTCTATTTGCTCTTCACTGATACCCATGCGCATACCTATCTCGCACACCCACACCGCCTTAGACTACGTCTCATACAAATTTGCAACCATATGAGTTAGAGAGCTTAAATTTAGTGTGCATATGGGGCATGTAGGGTAGAGAAAGGTATAAAACGGCTGTCCAAATCGGTCAACTGGAACAAACGTTATTAGTCAAGTACCTTTAACATCTTAATCATACCACAAAGTTGTAATTGTACATCTATAGACTGGCAGTATGTTATAATGCTGGGAAATCAAGAATAGGGAAGTGCTATTCTATCCTAATCAGTAGAGAGATTGTAAAAATAGGTAAGATGAGAAAGCACAAAGAATAAAAATAAGATACTCGTCTTGTAATCAATGAATGAGTGAGGAGAAATTTTGCCAAACAATTTTATTGCCTGAGATGAAGCATACGTGTACAAATAACAGAAGTATGTTATAATAAAAAGACACGACAGATCATTAGTCTATATGTTAATGCAGTCAACAGATTAAGAAGCGAGTAATTCTTTCTTGTGTAGATAGATGGTACGAATGTACCCCCGTCAACCAGAAGATATTTTATCTCTAGTTATAACGAAATTGAGCGTTCGAATAATGTATTTGGTTCAATATTTATAAGACTAATCTCACGCGACATATTAATCTATGTAATCCTTATGTTCTTATTCTGGAAACGAAATCGGTTTTCAATGTGAAAATTTATCCGATATTAATGGTGAGTTTTACACACTCATAATCGTTTCGTAACGAGTTTTTCTTACTGCTCGAATTTTGTCACAACTCAACTCATGTTTTATAAAATCTACGAAAACAATATCTACTATTGTAGAAATGAATTCATACAGATCATATGGTGCACCGCAACTCCATGATTACTTTCTCATAAATGGATAGAATGGACTGAACTCTAACAACTGAATCCTATTGTATACATCTGTCGGATTTCAGTGAAAAGTCCAGTAATCAAAAGACGTTAGAGATTAGAGGACTCTATTGAGATTCGATCGAATTCCGACTATCAGAGTTCCATTGGATTCAGTCATCAGAACTCATTCGATTGAAACAGATCCAACAAAACCAATCGCGCACTTTCGACCAAAAATTATAAAAAAAACAAACATTCGAAGACTGTCTAAGAAAGACAAATAACTTTTGGCTTTATAGATACTCACAATCAGTGTGTACTGCCTTCGTGTTATTATTGTCGTCAAAATGAAAGTTATTCGTCGCTTTTTTCTCTTTCTGTCTTGCTTTCATGTTGTAAAACAATGTTGTAACACGTGACATAGGTGCTCATTCTTCAATCAACACAGAATCGATAAACAGTGAAAGCAGAAATGACTTTTGTTACTATAGTTTATTGGACGATTAATATTTCAAAACAGAAAGAAAGCGAAAAACGCAAGGAGTGGCAAAAGACATTATATAAATAAACAAGGGTTGTTAAACGAGTACAGACGTAGACGAAAATAAGGCTCACAAATACATCTACAATCACACTCACAATATCGCTTTCGAATTTTGTGATCTGATCCAAGTTAAATATATTATTCAATCATGATCGAACTGGCTGTGATGATGGGTATGAGAGTGTGAGTGCGGGTGTGTGGATAAAGAGAAGACAACATACACAGACTCAGATCTAAATCCTATTGTAAGTTCAGATCATATGGTGCTAGAAATTAGTACGATTTAGTCTATTGTAAGACGTTATTGAATTGGAAAAGAAATCACTGTAACATTGGTCTTAAATGAAAGTCGTAGAAAAAAATAAGATTGTAATAGTGAATGGGAAATTAGACCAGTTTTGATTAGTTTAAAGAAGATTTCTAAAACTAAAAGCCTACATGAAAGAATACCCTTAGTCACATATAATTTAGTTGCATCAAATAGTCGAAACGTTGTGAATATTTTGCAGCTATGTTATCGGTTTCTGTCACTTTGCAATATCAATTCTGTGTAAAAAGAATTGAATTTTTCTCATATTTACTAAGAAAAATAATATTATGATTGAAAAAATTGTGATTTTGTCTTGCTAAGTGATGAGTGCATTATCATTTCAAAAGAAAATGCAAATGAGAAAGCAGTTAAGGAAATATGCATTCAATAGCAGTTACTGGCATATTTTCTTTTTCAAGTAAACTTTCTGTACAATGTTAGAACTAATCGGATCAATCATCTCAGTATGCAAATGAGTAACACCAATTTTTTTTTGCGCTAATATGCTGAGTGCATTATTAAGGCCTTTCCGCTCAAAAAAAATTAATTTTTGTCCAAAATTCCAAAATTGAGATAAACACATGGAAAGATAGTCCGTCTTCAGATCTTTCATAAACGAGAAAAATTTTTACTCAACAGCTCATTTTTTTGGAAAAATTTCTGGAGATTTCCGTCATTCTCTCTTCGAAAAACAAGCTGTTTTTTGAAAACAATCGAAAGTCTTCTTCGCTTTTTCTCAGTTCATGATTTGTCGAAAATGCAACCCAAATTTCTCCGTACAGGTTCATGTTATATATTTAAATTTCTTTTGTTGAAAAGAACATGTTGGGATGCAGGATACCACAGAGTCCTTTTTTTTTCAAATACGCTTTTTTATTATCATATAAGAAAAGATCTTTATAGAAACAGTACCCTTTTTTTAAGGATCGTTTGAGTTATTGAACTTGTGATTCCTTCTTTCCGCTTAAAAAGTAAGAATTTAAAAAAAAGGACTTTGTGGTGCCCTGAATCCTGACATGCTCTTGCAAACAAAAAAAATTAAAGATATAGAATGAGCCCGGACATAGAAATCCGCGTTGCCAAATGAGCTATGTTGATTCTTGTTTGGTCAATATCTCTCTCAAACATCATGATATCGAGCTGAAAATTTTACCATAGCTTTCCTACAGCAGTCTCAAGATATCTTGAAAATTTGGTGCCATTTGAACGTTTCTGGACTGAGATCGACTTTTGACGAGAAATGAAGAGGCATTCACAGATGCAATAACCCTTTGGTAATCCGAGCACCACTTTACATACTCGATGAAATGTGTTTTAGTTGTAAGGATGTATTACATGTTTGTGAGCTACTTGTGTCAACAATGGTTCACTGAGAAGTTAATTGTTTTCAAAAAGAAGTACGGCTACATTGTGACTTTCAAAGGAACAATGGACGGATTTTTTTAAGCAGATTTTGTAGCGATTTTCTGAGTCTAAGTGACTGCTGATTGTGCATTTAAAAAAACGTTTGAGTCTATGTCAAGTAATGGAGAATAAGGAATCACATAGTCACCCATATAAGCGAAAGTTTTCTAGGTAAATATTTCTATGGAAAGTTAATACTCTAACATGAAGTTATTTAAAAAATTTTAACAGCAAATAGATGTTTAGTGCTTCTTAAAAATCAAAGATAAACATAGTGATCAAAAGAAACATGAGGTCACAACGACAAAGATGTCGGTTATTACAAAATAGAGACGATACTCTACATACTTATCGTCATTTTTTCAAGAAAAACACAGACACCTTATGATTATCATAATTAAGTTCGTGGGACTATCAAGGCATGTTTATTACGGTACGAATTGTAGCACCAGAAGCTTTTCATTTCAATATGATGTGACAGTATCGCGATCGGATCGATATCATTTTGCCAATCTTTTCCAAGACGTTCTCTTTGCAAACAAATGTTGCTTGTTTTATTGTTAAATTCTGCCTGATAATGTCTTTCAACAGTTAACTGACATTCATTTATAATTAATTTAGCCATCGAGCAAATTTTTGATATTTTAATACGCTCATTATCAATTAAGAATAAGTCACTATTAAATGACCAAAAGATTTGATTATCAGTTCGATCTTTTATAAAAATACATTCTAATATAAGTAAGTGATTCATCTGGAAAAACAGAAATATCTTGTAAACCAATATCAAATTCAGTTAAAGCATCTATTCAAACTTAAAAAAATAAAAATTCCTTTTTTGTGTATTACTTTCAATTTGAAGTGTACCATTCAGATATTTTAATTGACTATTCTAGATCAAAGAAAGCTAGTCCACAGGTTTTTCTTCAAAAATAATGGCCCACCCTTCAGTCACTCATCAATTATATTGGATAAATTGTTAACACATAAATGAGCAATCATATTTCGAGTACCGGTAGTTGATGTATAAACAAATATTCAATTACATATTTAACAATTTGTTTCATGAATGAAAAAGTTCAGTAGGAGTAGAATTAGAATTAGAAAATAATAATTGATGATAATATTGTAATTATTGATGAATGAGGAGAACTAGATAAAGACATTTTGTTGAATATAAAGAAAATCTTTTAAGATGTCGATCATTTAATCTTTTTTCTAGATTTTGCTTTATATCGGGTGAGGAATAATGATTGCAACATCTAGTATTTTGCAAATATCTCAGCACAGATAAATCGTATAATCTTGATTTTTTTTTGTGAATGATGCTCTGTAATATCTTCTACAAGAATAGTAATGCGAAATCTTATCCAGTTAGTACGATGATTTTTTTTTTATAAGGCTAAAAGCGAAGTACTGTGTGGTGGTGGTGAAATGTTTCAATATTCTGAGAGCAGTAAAAATGAAAACAAAGTTAAAAAATAGCTTTCTTCTAATTTTTTCCTCCATTAGAATAATGGAACATTGCATCATCACACAGTGCTTCACTTTTAGACTTATAATAAAAAACCCATCAAACTCACTCGATAGGATTATTTCTCATTACCATTCTTTTAAAGAAAACCATGATTATACGATTTGTCCGTGTTGAGACATTTGTAAAATACTAGATATTGCAATCATTATGTCTCAGCTGGTATATTTGTTGTCCATTGCAGAGATGTTTTAGCCAATGAAAGAATCACATGAAATTTTTAGTAATTCCAACACCGATTTGTCCAACATATGTTCCAGATCTTTTTCTCGCTGTTAGTAGATAGAGCATGTCGAATTCTACTTGGAATCCAGAGAAGAAAATCTGGAATGCATCCTGAGCGAATGAATTCTGTAGTTGTTATTCAAATCAGGTGCTAACTTTATCTATGTCGTTTGATCGATTGTTTTACATTGTTTATTTTAATCTTGGGAATTTTCATCACAGTGGACTCAGTCTCCTAAAATCTGAAAATGTCAAAAGATGTTGTGAAAAGTTTTGACTCAGATGATGATAAACAAGATGAAATAATAACATTCAATTCTATTTTTGATTCATCATTACATGGGTTTTTGTTAGAACAAAAGAAAAACGATTTTATATTCCAAAATTTATCAAGATATATTTCTAGAAATCCTAGTTTTTGATGTGATTGCAATGAACAATCAATAAAAAATTGGACAAAAGTCTCTACAACTCAGAAAACGATTTGTTGTAATACTATCATAGAGAAATGATCGATTCTCTGTAAAACTTTGTAAAGGGTGTCAGGAGAGGGATCACTCCTCATCAGTACCACCACTTTTATGCTCTCCTAATTGACGACAGTGTATTATATATAACCACCCATCTATGATTCTATGTATTTCATACTTCTGTTTACATTGATTTATTAGTATAAATTTAAATTCTTATATTAATATTGATTAAAAGTATGGTTGAATTTATTTATCAAAGTATATATTCAATATGTACAGAAAGGATTATTGAATAAATAAAAGAACTTATCAGAAAGATATTTAACATTCCATTGTTAGCATAAAATTTTTATTATACATCTTAGTTAAAATTAGTGAGTTAGTAAATTTCCCAAAGAATTATATAATCTATATATAGTATATAGAGAGAAAGAAAATTAGAAATGATCTTCACGAACAGGATCCGAATTTGCCTTTTCAATTGAATGAGGATGTTTATGAGTATGTTTTTTCTTTTGTTTTTTAATTTTCTTATTTTTAGTCATTTCATTGTTAATATCTGCAACAGCTTCACTAACATCAGTTATAGCCCATGGAAAATCATCAGCAGCATCAATAAAAACATTTTCAAATAAAAATTGATTAAAACGTTGTTCATATTCATTAGATTCAATAACAGAATATTCAAGATGTCTATTATGATCAGTAAGTTTTCGAAGTGTTTGATCAATATGTTTAAAATGATCAAATGTTTGAAGCATATCAATCAAAGCTAAATATATATAAACACGTTTATTAGTACCATTGATGATACCGGGAATAGGTAAAGTTTCATAAGCAATTGAATCATTATTATAATATACATTCGTATCGATTTTTTCATTGATCATTTCTAATGGTTTCAAATAAGAATTTGCTGAAGATGTTATATCGTTTTCACGATTTGATGGTGAAACAACGACAACAGGATTTTCTGTTTGATTTATTGCAAGATTATTAGTTGCACGAAGAAGAGCTGTAATTCCTGTTAGTTGTTGACGATCTAACATTTGTGATTCTGACATATCTAAATGTCTTATACCAAGTATAAATGAAAAATCTGTTATATTCAAATTTTTCAAAGCTTTTGTATCATTAGCAACAATCATTTTTAATTTATGATAAATATTTGTTGGTATAAGTATACCATCGGGATATAAATCCATAAAATTTATATCTTTTAATTTATAAAATTTCTCTGTAGATAAATAACCAGTTGTTTTTCGTTTTATTTTTGAACCTTTTAAATCAAATATTTCATTAATTTTTAATGATGGTGTAAAAGCATTAGCCATAACAACAACATAAATTGTCATAGTTGATAATGATGTTTGTAAACGCATTAAATATAATCCAATATAACGATTGAATATAGTTGAACGTTGTCGAAATTGTAAATGATAACCATTTAAAATTTGAAGTAATAAACGTGCTTCATGTTGTCGTAATGTTTTTAAAATAAATAAATCATCAAATGTTTTATACATTAATGAACCACTTTTACCTGGATTTGTAAAATCTTTTAAAGAATTTTTAAAAAATGATTGACGAAAATTTTCATTTGATATACCAATATCTTCACGAAATTGATAGAAAACAGTTGGTGCTAATGAACTTATTTCAATATTTATTTTATCATCATTACCATTTAATTCAGAAAATTCATTATTATCTTCTTTAATATTGAATGTATATTGACGTGAATGATAGGAACGATTTTCTGTACCAAGAATAGTTCCATCATTTCCTGTATATTCATTAAATTTATATGTTATATGATCAATTAAATCAACAATAGCTTGACGTAATGCTCGTCCAATAGTTGAAGTTTTTGAATTAATATAACGTAAATTTAGTGAAGATTTTACATAAGATCCAACATGTAGATCAAATCGCTCCGATAAATCTATGTTTAATAAGCCTTCACATATTTTACTATTACTGGTTGCCATGTTTTCTTTTCTTCAATTTTAGTAGTAATATACAGCCAATGAGTGTCACGCTTCAATGAATCAAATAAAACGAAACGTGGTTGACCTAAAAAAAAAAAAGAAAATCAATTTGTCAATATAATTGATTTTTGAGTAGATCAGAAACATGTCTATGATATATGTTTGTTAAAATCATTCATTATTTTCTTTTTACATACTTTTTAAACGGAAAAAAAAAGAATCGATTGCAATCTAGTCTAATTTTTATTGTTTTGTGTACACAAAAAAGATTTGTATAAGAAGTCATATAATTATTCTTTAATTAATTTCTTAAATATATTGAGAAGAATAAAATATCATATGTGATATAATGAATATCATCTATTATATTTTGACCATTAGTCATTCGTTTTTCATGATTAAAGGACATGCCTTTTATTATTCGAAATCACATTTTACGTTCTATCCAATTGCATATGAAATATTTTAGAATAGATGTATAGTTTACTTTTGCAATCTATGAAAAATAAAGATTTACAAAAACTTGTACGTTCAAAGCAATACTGAATCCAGGAAACCAGTGAGAAGATGGTGATTTATTCTTGACTGCAGAGGTTATGGTTAAAGAAAAAAATCGATTTTCGAATCCCATTCAAAATAGTAACATAACTCGTTTTTCTTTTCATTTCTGCTAAGGAAAAATGTAGAGAAAATTTTACTACGAACGACGACCTGCTGCTTTAGCTATCTCCCTAATAATTAATGAAATATTTTCTGAATACAAAAGATACTATTCTCTGCGTCTCATCTGATATAATTATTGATCGATTTTCTCTTCTGATAACCATATGTAATTATTATAGATCATGTTCTGAAATCAATCAAACTAAAATCTAGATATATTGATGATAAAAGAAATCATGAGTAAAGATAAGAAGAATAATTTCTTTTTTCAAAACTACAAAGTTTCGAATTAAAATCACAATGTAGATTCAATTCCGGAATTATTATTCTACAAGTAGAACACACTACATTAACAATAATGGGTAGGATTTTACAGTGTCAATGTAAACACTGATGTAAAGATCAACGGTTTTCACCTTTTTCACGTTGACTTCTAACTATGAACGTAAAAAAAAATGGAATGAGCACATCGGCCTTTCCTGAAAGTATAATCTATAACTTTAAATGATAAGGACAACTTCAAAGAAATACATAACATCTACTTCTTGTATTAATATAGAAGTGCCGTCCTTCTATTATAGCTCTTTCATATTATGTGGTAATAGTCAAAGGATACTTTCCTCCTTCACTAACAGATGCCAGCATCGAACAAAGTCAGCTATGAAAGAAACATCTCATAAAAAACTATTCAGCTGATATAATCTCATCCAATGAAAACATCCTACCTATGATGATACTCCATTCAAAAGATGTCATGTTACTCCCTGTATAAATTACAGTCAATGAAAGCAAGCATCAGTGATCAGTAAACTGAAACTGCACATACCTAATGATATTGTCAAGAACTGACATTCTAATTAGAATTCTGACAGTAATTCTGAAGTCAGTAATACGGTTGTATCATAATGAGATTACGGTTCATATAAGAAAATACGATTCGTTTGAGTGTCATGCTAAGCTGTAAAACGCCCTATACTGCAAAGTTATGACTTGAAATATAGATAGACATATCAATCGATGTAAGTAATACTACCAGTTGAATTGATCTTCGCTGCAATTCGGCATATTGGCTGTATAGGACTCAAAACAATTGTTCAATAGACTCAATAACCTAGTGGTATATCATTTCATCCCTTATTTTTCGACCTGGTTTGTATCGAAAGCTCTTTATGTAATAGTTGATTAAATTCTAATTTGAGGAAGAAAATGATTTTATATTCTTGTGCAACAAATCCAAAGCATCATGATTCCAAAAACAATATAATTACAATCTTGATTCTATGAAATGTGTTGCCATTTTTGTTTTTGATATTTCGATCGATTGAAACAATAATTTGACATTTTTCGATATCATTATTTCTTAATTAAGATTTATTCTCAGAAATATTCTTTTTTAAATAAAATTAACATAAATAGCATAGAATGAGACAGATATAAACAGTTTCCTATCCTTGTGAAGATGTCCAGTATGGTGAATATCATATATAAATTTCAAATCATTTCACCCAGATTTATTTTGATTTAACCAGTCAAGTCTGCCACTAATTTTAAAGGATATTTATAATATCAGAATGTCTTAAAATTATTTCTTTTTCCAAAACTCCAGATCCTCTTCTACCTGTCTAACAACAACTCGTGAAAACATAAATAAAATTTCTCATGCTGGAACTGTTCTCCATTGGATCATTCTCTCGAATTAAAACTTCACGTAACTAGTGTTTCCGTTTCATTCTCTATGCATCAGAATTTTTCAGGTGTGAATGTGAATTTGGAACAAAGAATACATCCTTTCTTCTTCCAGTCAAACCTACTCCGACACATATATACACATCATCACACACTGCACTGTCATTTACAACTCGACTTCTCAATCGGACAATCGCTATCCGGCACTCTGATACTTATCTTGCATCCATCAAACAATTTATAAAAAAATCCTAACTATTCTATTCTACATTATTACTTATGTATACACATAGAAAAGAAAAATAGTTCAATCCAGTCTTAATAAATTGTTACACTTGAGAATAACTTCCATAATAAATAGAAATGTTTTACGATGATGAATTGTCTAATGAATCGATTTACTGTATGACAAAAAAGAGATAAAAATGTATTGTCATGTCAAACAAAAGATTTCCTCGACTAATGTTTGAGATTAATGAAGTGTAATATGGAAACAAGAATAGTCTTTTCTTTACGCACACTCTAACATATCTTGTAGGAACAAAAAAACTTGCACGACTCTAACTAATTTGTTGATTCAAGTTTTTCTTTCCTATTTTATCTTTGTTCTTTGTAAAAAAAAAATATTTTTTTTTTCTTACAGATATCAATACTACAAATGAAATAAATACATTGAATTATTTAGTAATACTAATGGATTTATATCACTAAGAAGATAATATTAGAGTAAACAATCAATTGATGTGCACTCAATTTTAGATAATTTCCTTCATTGAATTTTGTTTTTTGTTCTGTTTAGTTTGTATAATTGAAATTGAATATTTTAACGATGAAATAAAACTTCAGAAATATACTACAAAACAAGTTGAACACATATGAAATTCTATTCGAAATTATTGATCAGATAAAATATTTATCATAAAATATTTTCAATTCTATATTTCATATATTCAGAATATTTGTTGCTTGAGAAATGGTTATTCAATAACATATAAATCTCTATTTTCTATGAAATCAAAATTTCGATTGATCTTAAAACTAAAAAAATTAGTAAATTGTCTTCCATTTGTCAAATGTGCACCATTCCGATTTCTCATCCAATCCAAGTCCTCTATATATATATATATATCAAAATGCATAAATATATCAAATAAAAACATTCCTCTTATTTGATTGGTTCTATAATGAAAACCCATGATATTATTTATTCGTATTGTCTCAGAAAAAAGGAAGAAGAATTCTAAAAGACAAAAAAGAAAAAAGAAGATTAATGATTTTGATTTAATTAAATAAATCAAAAACAAAAAAAAAAAATGAAGGTAGTTAAAGGTACAAATACAGGAGATAAAACTAATTATAATTATTCAAAACCAACACCTCCACCATCAGTTCCACTTGATGAACAACAATTTGATGATACAGATGAAGATTGGCAAATATCAAAAACGAATCGTTTACAACAAAAATTTAATGATAATAATCAAATAATTAAAAAGATTGTTTCACCAACTTATGAAATGCAAATAAATGAAGATAATAATGAAATATCTATTAAACCACAACCAGCTATACAACAACAAACACGAACATTAGCACAAATAAGAGAACAACTTGCATTAAAACGAAAAGGTTCATTTTTTTTGTGTCTAAGATTATTTATGAAATATATTTCTTTTTTCTTATGTTTAGCATCTGCTGCAGCAGCTTCAAATTCATCAATGATGACAAGTAATATTATATTATAGAAGAAAATAAAATCAATTTTTTTTGCAAAAAAAAAAATTTTCTTTTAGATAATCCATCTTCTAATTCAATGATTAATATTATTAAATCAGAAATAATTACACAAAATGATTCTAATGAACGAACAATGTATGTTTAGTAATCAAAAAAAAACCCTCCTCAGATATCTTCTATTTTAATTAAGGTTTATTTTCTAGAGATTCAAGATTTTTAGAATTCGAATTTTGACCTGAAACTTTATCCATAGCAAGATCTCAGCTAGTGTATTTGATATTGAAAAAATTCTCAAACTAGTTTTAATTAAGAATAATCAGAAGTTCTATTGTATTAGTATTAAGACCTGCACATAATTCATACAGCCTTTTATCCACAGATATCATATGCTCTAATTCTATTAAATATATCTTATTCATCACTCATGGGAGGAGTATATATCGAGTAATACTTTATCAATTAATAAAAACTTTTGAATAGGATTCATATATTCAATGATGGAGTGTATCATCAGTGACACATGAACACTACACATTAATAGATATTGAATAGCTATTGATGCTTCAGCGAATAAAATTTTTCGATTTATGAATACTAGGAAGTGAATAATGGATAGTATATGTTGGAGACTGGTAAACAATGGCTATGGTAAAATTTTCAGCTCTATATCATGACATTTCATCAAACAAGGACTAAAAATAGCTCTATCGTAGCGCCAAGAGAATTCTCTGTGGGACTTCATTTTATACGTTTAAATTTTTGTTTTGCTTGAAAGCTTGTGTCTAGAACTAGCCTCTCTCGTGGACCTTTTTTTCTAAGCGAAGAAAAGCAATGACAAGTTTTATGACTCAAAAAACTTCTAAAAAAATGGTGCTTTTTTTTATAAAGGTGTTTTCTTATGTGTTAATAAAAAGGCTTTTTTTAAAAAAAAGGGTCACAAGAGGGAGAGCGAGCCCTAGACACAAGCTTTCGAACAAAAAAAAATATTCGACTTCACTTACGAAGGAATTATCCGAATTGTAACTCGTCGTTTGGGCTTTTAACCATAGGCCTCTAAAGCCGAGTTTTGACCATTTTTCTGAATTTTCGATCCATTTTACTAAAAAAATCGAATAATATTATTTCGACTTATAGATAAGTCCAATGACTTTTAGAGTGCCCGGAAAGTTTCAGCCGAAAAGAATATCTCTTTATCGAGATATTGAATTTCCAAAATAAACTCGATTTCTGTGGCAAGTGACTATTTATTAGAAATTCAATATCTCGACAAATGACTCCTCCTTGGTCAAAAAAAGAAAACATCTGGAGAAGGAACGGATGAAGAACTTTTTCGTGAAACTAAACATTATTTTCCTGACGTTGAAAAATTCCGTAACTCGGCTCGAGAGCGACTTTTAAGTTTCGTACGGTCTCTATGTTTGTTTAGAATGTACCTTAATTCTCTTTATTGATATTATATAAAATAATATTAACCAAACGAATTCCAAAAAAAAAAAATAAAAGTCTCATATTTGACATATGTTTTATTTTATTATTTGTATTCTTCAATCAAATGTCTCTACTGGCTTCTAATAAAATTTTTCTTTATTTTCATTGAAATACTAATAAGAATATTTAATCCTTCTTAATAAGGAATTGATTTAGAAACATACGAAGTAAATCTTCATAGAGAAAATAAGTAACAACTATGTTTTTTTTCTTTTTGATATTTTCGAAATTAGAAAAAAAAATAACATCTCAGTTATATATATATATATATATATCTTTTACTATTAGATCTTCATCTATAACTAATAATCCATCAATAGAACAAGTTGATAGAATCCTACCTTCATCTATGTTCACCAATCAATCGTCAAATGATTCTCTTCTTTTGGTATGTCTTAACAAGATTTCTTATTTTTTTTTTATTCTCTTCTGAATTTATGTATGTGATGTGATATTTTTTTTTCTTCTTATCAACAAGTTTACATGCAAACTCGTTTTTTGTTGTCTTAAATGCTGCACCATGCGATATAATGCTTTCTCTTTTGTTCTTCTATTCCTTATTTTTTTCACTCTATCGACAAACCATCTAGCAAAATTTGTTTCATTTTGACGCTCTTACTTACTCGTTTTTCTTCATCATTGTCGGTTTCTTTTTGCTTTGCTTTAGTAACAACACACGGCAAACGTCTGATCGGTTACGTTATTCGTTTCTTTTTTTATTTTTTTTTTTTGTTTTTACTCTTCATCATTCCATTACCATCATCATTTTTAGTCGAAGCAGCTCTGTATTTTATACACGCAAAAGCAACAAGTCAAAACACATCGATGATGAGGATAATAATCATAGTGTGTTCGAGAGAAGAGACAGAAAAGAAATCACTCACAAATACGCTTTTTTTTTTTTAAGAGAAGAAAAAAAAGAAAAGAATGAATGCTGCATGATGCACCGACAACCAGCACCAGCTCTAGTGCTCAGAAAGAAAAAATATACGCATTTCTTCTTTTGTCTCCAATTTCAAGACACATCGTCGTCGGCATCGTAATTCTCGTGTTATTGTTCCAGTCGCTACTAGTTCAAATAATATATTCATTCGCATCTATTTTGCTATCGTCATTGACACTTTTTTTCTTCTTCTTCTTCAAGTGCCAGTACTAGTCAAAGAATCAGAAGAAAAAAAAAATTGAACACTGAACTTAATCATGAGCAGTATGTTTGTGTTCTCTCCTCCCTTTTATTTTTTTTGTTCTTGTCAAATCATATTTCGTCGACATCGACGATCTAACTGCTAAGAGTATATATACACACATATATATCTAGACCATAGAGAAATGTTAAACTGTGTTTAATCGTTGCAACAAAAAGACGACGACGAACTATGGTATGTGTTCTGCTGACATTGAGAAAGGAAGATGATGGGACGAGAAATACAAGAAGAAGAACAGAAAAAAAATATATAGAAATAGAACTGAATGTGATTCGAATGAACTCATAAAATATAACGAGAAAAACAAAAAAAAAAGAAAGAAATTGATGATCGATCATATATATTTGCTTGTTCTCTCTCTCTTTTCTTAAACACATTGAAGAAAAAAAAAAAAAAAGACAATATATATATATATTGATTTCAATATAATGTCTTTATCCTTTTACTTTTTCTTTCTCTATATAGAATACGACTACTACTACTACTAATAATAATAATAATACCAATAATAATCCAGTAACACAATTTTTATTCGACGATTTTACTGAAACATTCGATTCATTTACGGCATCAATGATTGATAATATCAGTGAATCAACAACAACAACAACAACAAATAATCATCAAAGAAATATTCAAATTGAACAAGAACAACAAACAAAAATAAATTTAAATAATCAAATTACACTTGATTTTAATAGTATTTTACAAGAATTAAAATCTGTTGGTGAAGCACATCAACCAGAACAACAAACAACAATGATTGTTGAAAATATTACAGCTAATATTAAACAACAATCACAAATAAATACAAATTCAAATAAAACAGGTATATTTATATAGAAAAAAAACAAAACGTAAATCTAATAAGTCTAATAAAAAGAAGAAATATTGAGATCGGAAGGAAGGAAATCGAGAGTAATTATTCTTTTTTTTTTTTTTTTAAATAAAGAATAAAATAAATAAATCAATCATTCAGAAATTAATGAGATCAAGTGACACGGCACAGGTGATAGGAGACATATATCGACACTCTAGATTAAATTCAATACTATTACTCACGCAAACAATAGTATAAAATAAAAAAGAAAGATCGATGAATATTCGAAAAGGAAACAATAAAACATTGGAGAAAAATGAAAATTTTTTTGAGATTGAAAGTGATTCACATCAGATAATTAATTATTATCATATACATCTATTGTCTTCATTCCTTAAACTGATGATTTTTACTTTATAAGAAAGTATTCGTGACCGATGGAATCAAACTCTGACTTTGAAAATTAATGATAACTTACATGTTCAGAGATATTATGTAATTTAAGATCAGTGTATTATCACAAACCATATCTGATTTAAGGGTATTGCGAGAGCGAATAAATGGATATGAAAGGTAGAAAAATTAAATTTGTTATGCACTCAAGATACTTAAAATGACTATTGTCATGCGAAAAGATTCGAAATATTTAATAAGAAAAGAAGACGATTCTGTTAAGTTAATACCATCAAAAGAAAAAACCCTACAAAATACAATTGAAGTTTGGAATAATTTCCACTAAATTACGTTACATAAGCAAAATGAAAATAGGCTTCTAGAAAGTTTACATTATCTTCTATTTACATGTCATTAAATTTTCCGACGTACCTCATAAACTCTTTCTATGAATATATAAACTAATGAGAATCGTGTTCTAGCTCTAATTATCAAAACATTAGGTTATAGATTTGTTTTTTTGGTTGATTAACCATGAATTGATAATTATTATTTTTTTACTCATACACATAGTCTTAATCCAAAGGTTTGATTATTCATTAATCAATAGGAAAAACAAGTTATTGTTTTTTTGTAAATTGAAAAATTTACTATAAAAAGAAAATTGATTTTAATGTTTTTTTTTTTTTTTTAGTATCTTCAGTCAAATATGAACCATCAACATCAATATCATCATCATCAGATGATCTTTTTGCATTTCTTTCATCAGATTCTGCTCTATCATTACCAAGTATAAATACAATGATGCTTTCAACAATTCCTACATCAACTATAACAAATTCATCTGTTCGTACACCGAAAAAAAAAGGAACTAAAGGAGATAATTTATCACCGAAAATAAAAAAAGAATCTAGTGGAATAATTAAAACAAAAACAATTAAAAGAACTAAAAAAGAAACAACAACAACAACAACACTTAATGGTGAATCATTACAACAAATTTTAATTAAAACAAATGGTGATTTTATTGAACCAATGCATATTGTTCTTGCATCACCAGTTAAACCACAACAATCAACAACATCATATTCTCCAATAGCACCAGCAACAAATAAAAAAACTACTAATGAAACAGCAACAACAAGTTGGATGACAACAAATATTTCTCAAACAACAAAAAATGCACAAGCACTTGCATTAAAAGCTGTTGCAAGAAATCAAGTAGCAAAAATTAATCAACAACAACAACAACAACAACAAGCAATGGATACTGGTAAAATTTTCATTGTATAGATTAAACAAAAAAGATTTTTTTTTGTTGTGAAATATGATCTAAAAGGGAGTGTTGAAGTGTAAAGATAAAAATTTGGATATCCACTGATCACGACAACAGTTGTTTAAATGTTTACAGAGTTCTTTTTTCTTTAAATTCTTACTCTTTAAATGGAGAGAAAGAATGATAAGTTCAATGACTAAAAAAAAACCCTCAAAAAAATGGCGCTAAGAAAAAAGCGAAGAAGATTCTTTTTGATTTTCTCCGAAATAATTTATATAAATAACAACTACATTGTATGCTTCACATTTTATCTCATAGGACTTTCACTAACAGCTATGTGAAAGATTAATTTCTTTTATAAAACTTCATTTCATTTCCATTTGAGAATACTACTATATAATATCATTATCACCTTTAGACTATTTTTATTTTATTTATAAAATTTTTACTTTTTTTTTTTTTCTTATAGGTAATTATGATGTATCACGTCCAACTTTACTTGTAACACGCACAGATTCTTCAACACAACAACAGACATTACCAGCTCGTGTAAATGCATTTGTAGTAAATGTTCCTCAACAACAATCTGCTAAATTCATTCCTTCAACTAATACAACATTAACACCACAACAACATGTATTTTTACAACAAATTATGCGTTGTGATTCTTCAACAGCAGTTTCAGAACCAACAACAACAACATCTATAGGAAATCTTGTACAACAACAACAACAACAACCAATATCTACAACTGTTCGTGTACCAACAACAACATCAACAACAACATTTATTTCTCAACAACAATTATCAAATGGAAATGAATCAATACGAAAACAACAATTATTTGATGTACTTTCAACATCATTATCAACAAGTCGTACAACAAATTATAAATGTACATGTGAATGTAAACCATTAATTGCTTGTAAAAAGTGTGGTGCTTATTGTCATGATGATTGTATTGGACAAACAAAATTATGTGGCAATTGTCTTGTTATAGCTCCTTGTTAAGGATATCTTTTTCTTTTTTTTTTTTTGTTCCTATTTATCTGATTGAGTCTAGTCATCGAAGAAAGATCATCATTATTTTTTAGCAATAGTTTAATGTATATTAATGAATTATGTATCTCCTTTTTTTTTCTTTGTTTCGTAAAATCTTCTTTGGATTTTCTTTTTTTTTCGGATTTTGATTATTGTATGAGCACGAATTAAAGAATGTGCTTCAAATATAATATTTCAAAAAAGAAAAAACAAAACTCTATGACTTCCTGAATTACTAATGAATTGAATTTCTTTTTTTTTCATCGACTAATACACAAGAGATACTCGAAAAATTCGAACTTACAATTTTTCATGAACAAATTCATATGATTTGTTTTTTAATCATACTATATATTCCTTTCTAAGGTTCTCTTTGACATATTTCAGATAAAATATCTATGCTTATTAATATTAAAATTGAAATCATTTTATAGATTGTCCAATTAGAGTTATCTATCAATATTAAGATAAAAACTACTCATCAAATTTTACAAAAAATAGTCAAATGAATATTCTACTAAGGCGATCTTACAAAGCCTAATCATAAAAAGTTCATATACATCGAACGAGCATAACTACAATGGCTAAGACATGGTTTGAGAATGCTACATGAAAGACTTTCCTACTAAATATTTAAAGTCATGCCTGTAGGAAAAAGATCAGTTAGCACAAATAGACTGAGAAACTCTATCAGAAGCGTTCAAAGCTTGAATGAATCGATGTGTAGTATGCAGCGAATAACTCTTCGATGATTAGAATTATTTCTGTTGGGAAAAATATTTTTATTACAAATAAAAATAATAAACAGATTTTATCGTGATGTTGCTTTAATTTAAAAAAAAGATATTACACTTGTTCAATATCAATGAATTCTTTTTTTCATCGTCTGATGTGTACATGAAAATGAAGCCATAGAAATATTGATTTATTTTTTTCTATTTTTAAGTCGTTGTATTTTTGCATATGATAGAATTGAATTTTTCTTGTATGTTGGACAATTTATTTTTTTTAGATTTGTTGATGCATCGCGTTATAACTGTCTTGTAATATCTTTAAAGACAACTGATGCAAAGACAAAATATATATATATATATATCTATACATTTGTTTTTTTTTCATTTTATTTGATGGTTTAAGTAATTGATTATCTTATAAAAACAAATAAATTTTGTTTTTGTTTTTGAATAACTTCAATTGAATCGTAAATGATAATCTATCACTTGAGAACAAATCTTCATTTACTGTTGGAAATGAAAAATGTATTGATTGAATTAATAATTTAAAAGTATCATCAATTGAAAAATACTAATTATTTATTAATAAATTTCATTTTTATTTTATTAAAACAAAAATTTATTTTTGATATTACGATACACCTTAAATATATATGTGAATAAAGAATTAATGATCAGTTCCGTATCCTGCTGAGTATCATAGAGTAAGAAAGATCTTTCATTATGTTTTTTTGAGAATGAACACAAGAAAAATCTTTACACTCATTCCTTCCTCCAATACTCATTGCACCTCGAATCAGTCCTGCAGGGAGATAAGTGAGAGTTTAATTGCATGTATTATTATCATATATTAATATAACAAACACATTGTTTCACAACGATTATTTATTTGAATGCATGCAAGTAAAAAAAAATTCTTTTGTTGATTTTAATTTGTGATATAATAAATTCTTCAAATCTGAAATTTTATTTTATTGAAAAATTGAACTTAAAATAACAAATTTTTCGAATGTTTCATACATATCGAAACTAACAAGTTATATTCAAAACGAATTACATTCTTCAAATATTCAATGTTTTTTTTTTATTTTATTTTTCTCTACATTTATCCTTACTAAAATTCTCTATTAACAAAAAAATAGGCAAATTTTATCAAATAATTTGATATTAGAGAATATAGCATTTATAATAATCTTCTTAGGAATTGTTTTTAAGTAATAATTCTAGAAGAAAAACTCATAATATCAAATAGAATATAAAAATTATACATTTAACTCGAAGCCTAGATGATGATTTTTTTGCCTTTCGTCATTTCTTATTTGAAATGAATTGAATTTTTGCTTCTTTTTTTTTTTGCTCTTTATTAAAACAATTAAAAATCTCATCCATGTAAATGTATTCTATAAAATAATTAGTTTTCTTTTTCTTTTTTTTTGCTTCTTTATGCTATATTACTTTGTAAACAACCTTAACTATCATCATCAATATGCAAGTGATTAAAAATAGTAACAGAATTTTATATAATACATATTGTCTTTTTTTTTTTGATTTTCATACAACATATCATATGTGATTTTATGAATATCATTGATTACTAGTCAAAACATAACCTATCCAAAACAGAATATGAGAAATCTGTTACAGATGTTTACAATCAAATATTTCATGAATGAAAATAACTCTTGGTCTCGATGAGCTGGATAGCCTTGATGTAATAATATAAGAAAAGAAAATGACTAGGGATTCTTTTATTTATTTTTTTTTTGTTCGCTTTTAATAGATTATTGATATGAGAATCTAAATTATAAATAAAATAATCAGAAAAAAAAAGTTTCTTAATAAAAAAAAAAAAAAAGAAGCAAGAGACGAACAAAAGAAATAGAGATTATATTTCATCTTATTTGTTTTTCTTGTTCTCTCGACACAACAAAATCAAAAAATATATTTGCGTACAATCAAATTTTATTTGAATCATTGAAGAAGAATAAGAAGAAAAAAAAACTTTTCATTAACGATATGTCAAAAAAAGAAATAAATACAAGTCGTCCTATTCATCGAGTTGATTTATCATTACCAGTTGTTCAAACAGATTCATATGAAATTTTTTATACAGTACCATCACAACAAAATTTACGTACAATATCACCTCGAAAACCACTTATTGATAATAATAAAAAACTTACAGATCAAACAGCAAGAATTCGATCACCAGCTCGTCTTAAACATCTTATTGGTCCTGTATTTGTTAATGTACTTGTTGATACAAATACAATGACAGCTGAATCAATACCTGATATAACATCAAATCATACATTAATAAATTCTAGTTATTCTAATCGAACATTAAAACATTTACCAATTATAAATAAACATTCAAAACAAAAAATTCTTAAAGATGATGGTGAACATTCACGATCATCATCAGGTGATAGACTTCTTTATGAATCATTTGGATCATTTGATTATAATAATATAAATAAAACAAAATCAACTAATATGTGGCAAAATTTTCATCATCCACAATTAACATCAACTAAAGCTTTACATTTAAGAGCATCATCAAAACATAAATTAATTCCAAATGATTTACAATTAAAAGGTTTAAATACAACATCATTAGATAATCTTTCACAAGAATCAACAATATCAACAAATGATCAATTATATGAAAGAATTGAACAATTAACAAAAAATTATTTTCCAATAATACAAAAAATTCGTCATAGTTCTCAATATCCAGAATTAATTAATAATCAAAATAATTTTCATCGTCAACCAAGTCGAAATTTTATGCCAGTTTTATCACGACCACGTATTGTTCGATAAAAAAAAAAAGAATAAACTTTTTTTTTTTTTAAGTCTGTGATGTTCATAAAAATGCATGTTCTATGCGATTATTAAAACATATTTTGATTTATTTTAATAAATTCTATTCTTTAGTTGGTTTTATAGCAGCAAAAAAACAAGACAGTTCTTTTCCAATCATCGAGTTATGCACAGATCCTATTATTCATTTCAAAAAGTCAATGAACTTTGTTGTATCACTAATAATTCAGACATAAAAGTAGCGAGCAATCTGCACTTTTCCGTATTTGAAAGAGAACAGATTGTTTTATCAATCTATGTAAAAAAAACCAAACCAGTAACTATTTTGAAAACGATATCTTTGGAAATCTTTCCATTGCATGTTAACTTTTAAGATCGTCATTTGATAAAGAAAATCAAGGCCGATACCAAGTTACAAGCACTCTTCTGAGACCTCCGGAATCAGCTAATTGACCACTGATCAGTTTGAAATGAGTTGATATAGAAAGTTTTGATCATGTTGAGATAAGTGATGGTGTTTATTTTCCTTTTTTTAGCGTAACACGAGATAAGCAAATTGGTATTATAAAAATCCATTGTTTCCCCCATGATACTTAATTAACATAGACGATTTTTTTATGTTGCTTTAAAAAAGAAAACAAACATCACTAGTTGTTTTAGCATGGTCAAAACCTTCTATATTGACTCATTTTATACTGACCAGTGATGGATTAGCCGATTCCGAAAGTTTCAGAAGAATGCTTATTACTTGGCAACGGTATCACCTAGAGAGGTCGATTTTGATGACGATCTTAAAAGTTAACATGTAATGGGAAAATTTCCAAGAGCATAGTTTTCAAAATAGTCATTTGTTTGGTTTTTTACATAGATTGATAAAGCGATCTGTTTTCTTTCGAATACTGAAAAGTGCAGATCGCTAGCTACTTCTATGTGTGAGTTATTTGTCATATAACAAAGTTCATTTTATTATTCTTTACTTATATCATTACAATAACTGTCTTTTTTTGCTTTTATAAAATGTTGTATTGAGACAAGACTAGCTGCAGTTATTGTGATAATGCTCTATTTTTCTATTGGATGATATCTTATTGATATAGATTAATTTATTAAAATATACTCTATGCAGTTATTTGATATCAATGCACTATTTGTGCCTGGTGTTGGCAATAAAGTTTGGTATTTCCAAAGATATAACACAGTTTTTCGTTGAGTATAGAATGTGCAAATTAATTTTAAAAAATTCTCATAGGAATAAAACTTTATAAACACAATGAATAAATTGATTCAGATAAGATTTCACAAAATAAAGTCACATTAAATAAAAACTTTTAATGTTTTCTTTGTTTTTGTTTTCTAATGTATTATAAAAAATTCGAATCCAAACTTTACTCAAAATGATTATGCATCCTATACCATTGATTACAATATTTACAGAACAATATTTCATTACTACTTACAACCATTCATTATATTCTAGTATCATAATTATAAGACACATGCTGTCCAATGCGTCCTTGTGTTTAAAAACCGCCCATATCAACTTCCTGTTCGTTTGAGTAAATATTTTGAAAAAAATATTGTCGATATATATATATATATATTCTATTGAATAAAATAAATAGAGTCAACTTATTATTGTTTATATATAGAATAACAATTGAAATACATTTCTATTATCAAGTAATATTTCAATTTTAATTAAATTTTAAACTCACTTACCACAGATGTAAAGTCGACAGTATAACAACTGTTTATAAGAGAATACTTTCAGATGATCCCTCGCTTTTGAACTCATTTATTTATCAATGAATAGAGGATTACTAATTATATTAGAGTAATTCCCAAATGATACATACTCTTATTGATATTTGATGAAGATATTGAAGTTTTAGTTGATTTCTCCTGCAGAATCTCAATTTTACAATAAAATCAGATGTTCGAATTTTGATACGAAACTTTGCCTGAATAAAGACATCGATTAGACTAGCTTGTAAAAATAAAATTCAAAAATTCTGAATTTTTCAAAATTGTCATGCTTTGTACACTACCTATGAAAAGCACCTTCATTTTGAGAACTTGATGTTGGAAAATTCTGAAATTTTTTTTTTTACAAATTAATCTAATGGAGGTGTTCGTTTGGGTGGAGACTTAGGTTCAAATTTGATAATCTGATTTTGTTGGAAACTGGAATCCTGTAGAGAAAATCCATCAAAACTTCGATCTATCTACTAAATCTTAATAAGAACATGTGTTCTTCGCAGACTACTGTAAATAAATGAGGTCAAAAGCAAGGGATCATTTATGAACGTTGTTATGATAAACTGATCCATTCTAGGAAAGCTGCTGAGCTTCACTAATTTTTTTTTCGTCTAAGAAAATATATACGATTAACAAAATATATACAATCGACATTAAATTCTCGACTTCCATATAGTGTGAATCGACACAATTAAGCAAGAAAAGATTATTTCGTCTAATCTACTTTCGCCGCGGTAGTATAATGGTAGTACATCCGGTTGTGGTCCGGATAACGCAGGTTCGATTCCTGCCCGTGGCATATGAATTTTTGTTTTCATATAAATTATCATTGAGAAGAATTGAACATCATTTTTGAAGGATCAACAATATTACGATAGTAATTCACAATAAGAAATCATAGAATCGTTGTTTTTTTTCTTCAAACTAGAAGAATAGATTCGTAAATATTTGTCATAATTCTTTGTTTCTTGTTTTCAATTAATTTTTTCTTGTAATAAAAGAACAATATAAAATCATTTTCACTACATTAGAAATTATTTCTTGTAAGAACTCTTTTAAATTATTGACTATTAAAACTAAGAAATAGTAAATTTACAGAAAATTCCGTGACATAATTATATTATTTAATGAACAGCTTATTATATCAATAATCATTTGTTCAACTAAAAAAAATTGACTTTGATCGATGCATGAGAAATATATTCAATCTATAGATAAATATTAGAATGATAGCTCATGTCGCATACAGTTTACAACCAAGGAAGTACTCCAATTATGACACGTCATATGAGCGCATATTGAATCTACAAGAAAGTCTCGATAAGACTAGAAAAAATATAAGACGATTCGTTCGCCAAGTTATGACCGCTGTACCTAATTTTCGATCTGAAATTTTGCTTATAAGTAGGTCTAATGACCCTTAGAATATCCTAAAATTTTCAACCAAAAAAAAAAAAATGTTGCTTTGTCGAAATATTGAATTTCCAAAAAAATTGTCGTTTGCTACAGACATATAACAAAAATCGAGTTTATTTGAAAATTTAATAAATCGACAAAGGAATATTCGTTTCTGGTTCATAACTCGGCTCCAAAGGTAGTTCTCTTGTGAAGTAATGCACCAATATAGATAAATTAGTTTTTTTTTTGCAAAATAGTAAATAATACGTGGTAACGACATTCTATACTCGTGACAATTTCTTTTAAATTATGCGTCATTTAAAATAACATTCTTAGCCTTACTATAATACTTATCTTGATGTTGATTTAAAAAAATTAATTCCTATTGAAAGGCTTATCTTTTAATTATGTAATATCTGTTCATTGAACTTTTCTCTTTGACGCATATTATTGGAAGATTTACTTGACATAAACAATATAGACGTAATAAAATGAGAAGTATTCTAAAAGGTGCCTTTGACATTATCACAATAACGTAAAAATTTGGTATTAACCTATGTCAAAGTTACATGTAAACACGCGAATACTTAATATATAAGGTAAAGGTACACATCGGAAAAACAATGCTGTACCTTCGACATCGTATTGTTGACTTATTAAAATATAAAATTCAAGTCAGATAAGAATAAATTAGTAAAATAAAGAAAAATTTTCAGAAAAACTGTTATTTTAATTGTACATTAGTAATAGTACTAAATTAGCTATATATGTGCAAAAAGTGTCCAAATATTCAAGCTAGTCTGTCATCTTAAACATGATCTTTTTCATTTTTTGTTTGTAATACCAGTAATGATTAATCGAATATTTTCATCATTACGATTTGACTAATATTTAATTAAAATCTAAATTTAATATATTTCATTCAAAAATCATCGCTATTATTTGACAAGTCTGAATCATCATACAAAAAGAATTACTAATTTTACCTGTAGCATGATTGGATTTATTTGTTGTTTCAATGACATCATTATAAATGAATATAATACTGTCGTCATCGCATGTGTTATTACTTATCATCACCTACTCAACATTTGTCTTGAAAAAGTTGAAAATATATAAAGCAGAGTTAAATATTCGAACATTTTTATCAAATTAAAATTACATACGAATCAACTAATTCTTAATGGAACAATTACAAAATTTTGGTCCTAGTGATGTTAAAAATGGAATACTTACACAAATGTTTCGTAATGCTGGTATCAATGATGTTGATTCTTATATTGGTGATGTTCGTCGAGAAAATATTGATTTCAATGATCAATCATCATCTATGATCAATAATGATGATTATAATCCTGTAAATAATTCTCAAACACATTCAACACAATCAAATCGAATTGGTGATTTTTTAAATAATGGTCAACGAGGAATTGATAAACGTAATAATGGAAAAAGTAGTCTTGGTAATGTTAAGCAAATATATCAAATGGTAAGAAAGAAAAAAAAAAGAGTTATAAATTTTTATTAACATTTATATTCATACAATTTTTTTTCTTTCTACTAGTATAAATCATTGGATAAAAATGGTGATGGTAAAATAACAGTTGAAGATGTAGAAATTCTTCTAAAAGAAATGGGTCTTGGTTTTGTTAGTAAACATTTAGCACGTGCTCTATTCAATATTGTTGATACAAATCGTAATGGTCAATTAGATTTTCGTGATGTATTAGCATTAACTAGTCTTCTCAAACGTTTATCATCTTCTTCAACTACTTCAGATAGATTTTAATTCTTTTTTTTTTTATTTTGAAATAAAATGAAAGCAAGAATGTATATTATAGATACAAAGAATAATACGGTTCTTGTATATAGTTCTTATATTTTGATTAAAGAAAACCAGAATCCATCAATGTATGCATATCGGCTATAATTTCTTTAATAATTGCACGATTTATTGTTGAATTTGGATTAAATGAATATTCAAGAAATTCAATATTTGATACATAATTAAAAACATAATCAATACGTGTATGAGATTTTTGTGTTAAATGTTTTGAAATAATTTTATGTGTTAATTCTTGACATTCTTGACACATACGTGTTAAAACAGATCGATCAAATTTAAAATCAACTTCATATAATGTTATTATAGATTTTGCTAATGAATGAAAACGATTACGAAATTCATCAATTAATTTAAGTTCATGTTCTGTAAATAAATCATTTTTATATAATATACCCATTTTAACAATTGTTTTTATTATTGATTTAAGTAATTTATCGGCATCTTTTTTGCCTGAATAATTACGTGCTAATTTATGTAAATTATCTAATATACGGCCACTTGTTTCATCAATAAATATTTTAGCTACAGATTTTGATGATAATTTACTAGAATAAAAATCAATATATTTATATTTAAATAAAATAATACATGATGATGATGATGATGATGACTACCTTAGTAATTTTTTTTGAGCACGTATACCAAGACTTAAAGCAGAAGCATTAACTGAAATTTCTTCTTCATCAGCTAGAAAATAAAAATTATTTATTACAATTGAGAATATTTCGATATTCTATAACTCAATAGATATGGGCAAGATATTTTCTCGGTTCTCGGACAAAAACAGAATTTCTTTTTTTTTTTTAAATAAATGTCGAAATAACTCTATAGAAAATTTTGTTTATCACAGTATAAAAAAAAGATGTTTTACGAGAGTTACTTGCTTAATTAAATAGATAATTACAAGATTTTTTTTTTTTTTTTGAAATTACAAAATCGATGTATTATTACTCTGCGACATGCTCTTAGATTTTTAAATGAAAAGGTATCTGAATTCATACTTGAATAAATAAAAAAGGGATGGATACGAAATTCAAGTCAATTGACTTGTGTATTAAAAAACAAAAAAATATGAGTTGTTTTTCTTTCAATGATGTTGTTTCATCAAACAATAAAATCTTACAGGCGTAAATAACATAACTTAGTTTTCGAATGTTTTCTTTTTTTAATAATTTATCGATATGTTTAAAAAGAAAAAAACAACGCATGAAAACTTGACTACTTACATTCAGCAGCTGCTTCTAATTGACGAGCAAGTTGCTGTGAAACTGAAGTTGTTTGTGATGACTCTTCTTTATTATTTGTTTTTGAGGACATATTTAAAATTTTCTGTGTATGTGTGTGTGTGTGTGTGTGTGTGCTGTATCAAAATAATAATATTAACATTTGAATATTGGTATAAAAGTAAAGCAGTCAATAGAAAAACATGTTAGTGCTTTTCATATATGCATACGTAATGTGTTCAGCTTCACTGATGTTACTTTTTCTGCCGTCGAGCTTTTTCTCGTTTTTTTTTTCCTCGTCTTTCTATAGACGTCTCTTCGTTTGCTGAAGAAAAATAAAGACTGAGAAGAAAAAAAAGGAAAGAAGAACAAAAACCGATCTAGAAAAAAGAAATAATATTTCAAATTTGATTTATTACTCAATAGAATTAGGCGAGCTATTCGCGTGTTTTCTTACTCAAACGAGAAAGAAGAAGAAGAAGAAGAAAAAAAAAAGAAAATATTTTTTTTTCGACTCACAAAAAAAAAAGAAATCGACGAAGTAGAGCTTTGATAAGGTAACTATGACAGAAAGAAAAAAAAAGGCGTATATGCTCATCTTTTTTTCTTTATTTATTTAAAAAGAACATGTTGAATATGAAGGAAAGGAAAAGAAAACTGACGTATAATAAATGACAACCTACACATACTATTACCGTATGATTGACACATATAATAATGTATAAATTTTTATCGAATACAAAATATTCACGTTGCGCATATGAAAGAAATTTAATTGATTTTTAAGTACATATAGTGAGCATTAAATGTTATTTAAATATTTGAATAAATTGTAATTTTATTGGATCGAGAGATGATTCTTATATGAAAAAATTCAATATCTTGAATTATTTTTAATCAATCTTTATGATTTTCTAGATTAGATTTCATTCACTAAGAAATTCTCATTATCACATAAAAAAATATCAGAGATTTATTGTCTTAGATAAATCCTAAGATATTGAGCAGGTAAGGGTTAAAAGATCGATTTTTACTGCCATCTACTTTTAGAATATGTTATATAACTGATTTCTTTTCATTTCAATTTCAGAAGTTAATAGAATTAGAATAAAAAGTCTACATTTTTCTAATATAAGCCATTAAATAGGATATAAGAAGACAGTATTATTTCTTTTTAATGCAAATCATAGAATAGACCTTGAAAACATGATTGACAAATGTAATGTTACGTGAAATTTTTCATTTTTCTTCATTTTATAACTGTAGTTAGAGATGTAACTTCAATTCATTATGATCGATTACCATTGAAAATATTACTGTCAGAAAATTCATAATTCATGAGAAGAAAGAAAACAAAAATAATGTCAATGAATCACGCGAGGATCTTTTTTTTTTACGAGAAATCTATCACGCAAGATTAGAATTTGTACAATACTTCGCAATTACATTCGAAACAAATATATATATTATATAATATTTCAGTCCTTTTTTTTTAGTTACGATAGAAATTACTGCAAATTAATTTATAATTATATTTTATGAAAAAGTCATTAAGTCATAACATAAAACACACTACTAGATTTATGTAGTTCAGATTGATCTAACTTTGAATGTGTATTGTATATCGTGGCATGCAAATAGAGTTTTTTTTTTTCTACTTATAATTTCGAGTGTTTTTAACAAACTTTGCATATCTATTGTATTTCAACGAACATGAGAAAAATCTGTCATTCAAGTATTTTCATGGATTTTGAATGATTAAATGTACCAGTTATCATCTGTCAAATCGAAAATGTTTTGTCTTTCATTCGATTTTTTTTCTCAAGATGGTACGTTAAATGTTGCAATTCATTCGTAGATACAGGATAGTTCAAAAGTAACTTGGTTGTCTTTGATTGCGAATAACTTTTGATAGGAACAAGATAGAAAGTTGCGGTTTTTACCATTCGAAAGAGGAGATGAAGATGCATCGAATCATATATTATAGAGTTCTTGAAGGTGTTTGAAGTCCTTGAAAAAACTAGGTCATATTATCTTGTATTAAACAGTTCGATGCATCTTCACATCTCTTCTTTCAAACAATGAAAAACCGCAGCTCTCCACCTTGTTCCTATCAAAAGTTATTTGTAACCAAACATTGTCGGGTTACTTTCGGATCATTTTGTATATGTTAATGCTTCTTCTACTATCTTTTTTTTCTTTATTGATGCTAATTATATTATATATATATGATCTCTTTCTCGTTTGAAATTATATGACTCAAATAGAATTGAATATATAATAATCTTATGAAATATTCTAATAATATCCATTTTATGACGTCAATCTTATGTAAAATTATCCAAGCGTTAAGAACAAATTTTGAATCCGACCATTAAGAATATTTTCTAAGCTAGTAAAAAAAAACAGAAAGAGAGTAAAAAAACGCTTCTATAATTAACCTTAAAAGTGCACTCTATAGTTCATTTTAATAAAAAACAATGTCGATTAAAACTTATATATAATTAATAATTTGTTTGATCATGCATCTATTATTATTTATATATAATTTACTCACAAAGATGCATAACAATGATTTTTCTTGTAGTTTTAAAATTGAAATAACCAAGTATACATTCGATAAATGCTAGTTAGAAGAGAAAAAAAAAATTTATTAAGTAGCAATTCTGTACTGTCAATCATAACAAACATATTAAATAACAAGTATTTAATTTTTCTGTTTGCTTAGTTTTGTATATTTCTTCAAATAAACTGATTATTGATTCTAGACAGAAACCCGTAATTATCGATGACTGTTCCATGAAAATTTACGTGCAATTTTCTTAACTTTTTTTTGTTCTGTGTTACCGGTTTGGCTATTGATCGGTAAAAAAAAACACATTTAAATTAGTCAAAGGCATGTGAATTCTATTGTTCAGCAGAATAACGTGTTAGGTATTATTCTTTTTCAACTTTAAATGAATGATAAGAAAAAATACGTATTCTTTGAATGAGAAAAAAAAGAATATAGATAGTTGTTATTTTTAATTAGGGATCAATTTTTAGTCACACTTCTTTATTTTGTATTAATATATTGGGTTGATGTCAATTACATAACTGCATTATCATTTGGTAGTAACAAGAGTTCTATGAATATTTAGAAGTTGAATAAAGTTAGCGTGATGTCTATATTGTTCACTATACACGAATGCTAATCAAATATATAGTTCTTTACGTTGTTATGTTATGGAAAACTTCGTTGTTATTCGGAAAGATTCAATTATAAATAAATTAAATCAAAATGTACGAAATTCTATAACTAAATTTTAATCAATTCTATCGAAATATTTTTAAAAAAAATCAGATCGATGTGTTTTTACTTTTATTATTGGCATTACAAATTAAATTCTGACACTCTTGATTGGCAAATTGGTTACACAGAAATTGAAAATTGAATTCACATTTTGTTATCATCAAGCAAAATATGAAATATAATGAAAATAAAACTAAGAGATGTTTCTCATGAACTGAAACAATCCATGAACTAAATTATTCATTAATGATTGTACAGTTCGAGAAGTATATTTTCTATTGAACGATATACGCGAAAATGTTTTATAGAATCATTGATCAATTTAATTTCGAAAACACAATATATATATATATATATATATATCGAAACTATCATTAAAATGGGATTTTTGTGTTTGAGATCTTTATCAAAAAATTTGAATAGTTATATTCTCAGTCAGATATCAAACATTCTATTTGTTGTTGATCAGAGATAAGGGATATTGAAGAATAAATTCGAGAATATGTGAGAAAATCACAAGATTGTTCTTTTTTATAGACAATATTCGGCAAAATACCAATTTTATTGAAATCTTTTTAAATATAGAGATTAATCTCATACTATACTGATGACGTTAATGCTGATAGTATTATTAACATTTTCAATTTATTGATGAATATACTATCAGTATTCGAATTAACTCATTATGGCAAATTTCGTTTGAAATAATATGTGAATATTGTAATATAATTTTATTATGAATACATTTTCGAGACAGGTATTGATATCTACTATTGCTGAAAGATAGAAGTTGTCAAGCGTTACAAAATGGATATCAATTTTTTCTATGAATTGTAGCTACGAATCAATAAAACTGAAAAGATTGTTATATGTACGAGGAACTTTTTGAAAACAAATTGAAGACTGGACAATGAATACTGAGAGAGTTATTAACGAAATACAAGGACTCTTATTTATTCTCACTTCTTCTTTATTTTATGCTGTTAGATGGGCGTGACAATGATAAGCTACGACTTTTTAACACAGTGAAAGAAAGAATGAATAAACTTTCGAAAAGTTCTTCTAATCTTATCTTTTATTTAATCAAGGTCGCTCTCACTACATACTTTTATTGCAAGTTATCAAGGCATCTTTTCATTTATATTTGCTCGTAAGAAGCAAATAAAAAATTTTTTGATCTTCCAGAAACTATGAAATTTGACAAGAATTGTGGGATTCCCATGCCTCCTCTTCTAATTGATCCGGAAATCGAACTTTACATCGATGAGCCCACTTTTGATCCTGATATTCATTTGGTAATGACCGAACCAGATTTTGTCGTATTACTCGATGGTTGTCAACATGTACTGAAAGCGCCACAACTTTCTCAACCTGTAGCATTCAATGGTGATAGCCAAGTGGCTTATAGTGATCCATTTCGATTGTTAAGTGATGAAGACTATCGAGTATTACATACGTAGATAAAGTTAGCAGCAGATTTGAGTTTTTTGAGAAAATATTTGTCTACAGACTTGTGCCAAAAAAGATGTTGACTGTGCCAGATAGAGCATCGAATATACTACAGAATTCATACCTTTCAAAAAAATTTATCATAACAAAATGGCCAAAAATTAAAAAGGACTACTTTTCAAACACTGGTTTTAGCGAAAAAATCAGTATTTCGGCCTAATATTCGTTTCAATACCTGTACCAGTTCCAGAAAACGACTTTGCCAGATAGAACTCGATGAGATCTATCGATTGATACCAAATTCAACCTAGTTCATCATCGAAATGGGTCTTCAGCTATCCCGAGATCAGTTAGCAGCAGATTCGGACTGATATTATGAGTAAATATTCACACAGAGAGTTGTGCCAATTAAGAAAACAGTTGTGCCTGATCGATCTCATCGAGATCTATCGATTGATATCAAATTTAACCTAGTTCATCATCAACATGAGTCTCTAGCTCAACGAAAGCCTGTCAAGCAGCAGATTTGAGCTGGTATTATGAGTAAATATTGTGACAGAGAGTTGTGCGGGTGTCAGTGTGGGGTGGGCGTGGGTGTGCCTGTTCTGTCTTCTGAACAGCCGGATCCACACCCTTTACTTGTGAACAACGAATGTATGAAAAAGAAATACTCAAGATTACGTTAGCACTCGGATGTTAGTTTCAACTGATAAATTAAACATCATGAATAATTATTTAATTTGTAATATTCATGGGCTAGACTATACCGAAAAACAAGCCGAACGTGACATACAATGTCCTAATGCACCGATTTTCATTGACAAGGTGCCAACTATTATATTCAACCCTCTTTTCACACCATCGTTCATCCCGTTCGTATAAGTCTCGACACGACTATTTAATCAAACATAAATTACGTTGGACTTGGTATTAAACAATTGATCTCATCGAGATCTATCTGTCACAACTGTTTTCTTAATTGGCACAACTCTCTGTGTGAATATTTACTCATAATATTAGTCCGAATCTGCTGCTAACTGATCTCGGGACAGCTGAAGACCCATTTCGATGATGAACTAGGTTGAATTTGGTATCAATCGATAGATCTCATCGAGTTCTATCTGGCACAGTCGTTTTCTGAAACTGGCACAGGTATTGAAATGAATATTAGGCCGAAATACTGATTTTTTCGCTAAAAACAGTGTTTGAAAAGTAGTCCTTTTTAATTTTTGGCCATTTTGTTACGATAAACTTTTTTGAAAGGTATGAATTCTATAGTACATTCGATGCTCTATCTGGCACAGTTAACATCTTTTTTGGCACAAGTCTGAAGACAAATATTTTCGCAGAAAACTCGAATCTGCTGCTAACTTTACCTACGTACACATTATATGATTGCTATAAATTTAACTGTTATCATTCTGTTTTGCACATGGTAAATGATAATAATTGACTGTGTTGTTTGATAAAAATAAAAAGACAAGGAAAATTGTTGCAATAACAAGACTCATGATAAATGAGAAAAACTTTATTATGAATTCAAGATTTCTATATCAATGATTAACTCCACTGTTGAATGAATATTCAAAAGTACAACGAGTGGTACTACAAGAGAAATTGAATACAACATAAAATAGTTCAATGGAATGATCAATACTTTAGGATTAGAGCTATGTCACAACGAGATTGATGAATCATTTACATAAATCATTCTTTACACAGATGCTAATACAATCAACAATTAGGATCAATAACCATGTGTTAAATTCACAATTACTTATTGATCGTTTTATTCGAATACAATCAACTTTGAATGTGTTTGTTTGACAAATGAAAAGTATTATGTCAGTGTCTTTTTTTTTCTTCGAACTATTATTTTTCAAAGTTATACGCAATACCTTTATATCATAACTTGAAGAGATTCTATAACGTAGTTTTTGTTTTACATAGTCCACATATGTCTGTGTAGTTTATTTATTTTTATTACAAAAACTCTTTTGTTTTTACATGTATATTTTTTTTAAAAATTTGCATTATCACTGAAGAATTCTATTCTTCACCTGTTGATGAAATATCCTCGTAATTCCATATGACTTAATTTGCATATCATCATTGACATAATAGAGTTGAAAATCCAAATTACATCGTGAATATACTAAATGTAAAGAGAACAATACGTTCGATAAATATTTCTTACTAAAAATTATTACATTTTTTGGATAATAATAAGTTATTTTATTATTATTATAATTAACTGTATTTATATCTCAATCGACGACCTAAAATTAATTTACATAATGTAATTCTTAATTCTTTGGAAGTAGAAACATAAACAAGAACATCCAATAATGAATTTGTATATCCTAACCATGAAAATATTTTAAATAATAATTCATGATTTTGATCATCTTTAAAACGAAAACCAAATACACCACTTAATATGAAATAAATAAAATATGGTAACCAACAAACAACAAATACACCCATAATAATGCCTATAAATTTAGCTGCCTTTTGATTTTTTGAAATTTTTTTCCAAACACTACTTGTGCGTGCATATTGACGTGGAATTTTCTTCATAGGTTTGTTACTACTTCGTCTAGATGAATCTGTAGTTGGATTTTGATATTTACCATGATGAATACGAAGTGTTATTAATTCAAATGATGGTTTACGATTTGATAATAATGCGATTGATTTTTTTCGTAAATTATTTTCAGGCACTCTATTGATTTTATTTGTATTTGAACGTTTTCCAGTTAAAATTTCTCTCCAACGAAATGTAGGAAAAAATGATTTGGCAGATTTTGTCAAATGATGATGTTTATAACCGGAATTGATTGCTTGTATTTGTTTTTCTGCTGCTAAATACACTTGAATGTAAACATAAGTCATAATAATCAATGGTAGATAACAAGATACAATCGATACGAATAATATATAATATGGATTATCTGGAAATTCACATTCTTTAAATAGTAATGAAGGTACCGATATGGTTTCATTTGAAGTCGATGATCGTCCTAAATCAAATATGGTTATTGTAAGTGGTTAACTGCTAAAACTAATTTGGTATTTGCAACATGAAAATGTACAAAACGAAAAAAGAAAACAAAATATTGACAGTGACTCCGAAAAAAATGAATGTGAATAATGAAAAAGTGTTGTTGTGAAAATGATGATGAGTACATTTTATAATCATCTATAAGTTATTGAACCAATCGACAAAGAATCTAACAAAACAAGCTCTCGAGTCGTTGAAATCGATATTTAACTTTCTTGTGTAAACCTCTATTTGCTGTAACACATGATATAATAAAAAAATTAATGATCTTTCTCATAGTTGAAAATGTCAAGTTTTCATTATTTTTGCATCATCAAGTCGACCCCAATTAACTACCGAAACAGGCTCTTAGTGCGTTCACAATCGTTATTTTGTATTTTTCAATTTGTCTGTCAAATAAAAGTAATAAAAATAAAAAAATTGAAACTGACTAATTCATTCCATTATGAATGCAGGCTAAGATAAGAAATTGAATCCTTATGATATAAATAAACTAATGTTCAAACAGAGCTTCAGAATGAATACTTATTCTACAGATTATCTATTGTTTATCTCTGTTTTATCGGCAATTATTTATCAACCTCATTGTCAACATCGACTTTACGTATCGAATCTAAATTTGAGTTTTATAACAATATCTTCATATCAATATATATATGAATCGAAGAGTAATGAAAACAATACGAAATAGAACATTAAAAATCTTTTTATACGTACGCAAAATTTCTCGTACTGTTCCAAAATGAACTACAGCTGGAAATGATATAAGTGCTGAACCTATCCATATGAATGATAGCATATAATACCATCTATTTGCTATAAATGAAGTAGGATATTCAATAGGTTTCGTAATAAATAGATATCGATCTAATCCAATAGAACATAGACCAAATATTGATGCTGTTGTTGCAAATATATCCATTGAATGCCAAAAATCACATAGAAATCTTAGATGTCGTGGGAACAACCAATATTCATCATCAGTCATTTCAAATATAAATGCAAATGGCATAGCTATTAATCCAACTAAGAGATCCGCAAATGCCAATGATGCAACATAGTAATATGTAGATGTATGTAATGTACGTTCACGAATTATAGCATATATAACTAAGAGATTACCTAATATAGTTAATATGCATAATAATAATAGAAAAAAGCCAATAGGATATGCATGCCATTGGACATCTGTTATTGTTATGTTCTTTGTTAATGAAAATAATTCCATCACTATACAAATAAATGAAATATTGATATTAGTTTGATCAGAACTCATAAATGTTTTCATGTTTCTATAATCATGGACTATTAACGATACTCAGACAAAAACAAAAAGTAGAAATGTTGTGACCTACACATCTTTCAGTTGAATGAAATCTCTTAAAAATTCTATTCAAGAGCTTCCCAAGAGAATTCATCCGATATCGGATCTGACTAGGTTCCGTTCGAGATACAATGGAATTCTATAGGAATAATGTCGGAAACTGGTTTTACAGAACGACATTCGGATCCTACAGTCAGAATCTGAGCGAGTCTTAGTGTTGCAATTTAGGTCGGATCCAATAGTAGAATATCATTAGAACGCAACAGGGCTCCATGAAAATTGGTCATAACTTAAAAAAGGACTATGCCTTCATTAGTAAACACTTGTAAATATTCCAGCCTATATAAATAGTTATTCTTTACTTGTTTATTTCAAATATTTTAAATGAAGTCAAAGATAAGATGAACGGTAATCGAAGTGATTTTGATGAAATGTGGTCAAGCGTTTATTTTATTACGAACGACATAGTCATCCATAGGTCGAATATGCCGGCCTGTTTGTGCTTTTAGCCTAGTATGTTTCTATCATGTACGAAAGCAGCGGTGTTTTTCAGAATTGTTTATTTATTTTTGAATTAGAGAGTAACTCTATTTTTTTTTCTTCCGTCTGGATCACACATGTACTTTTTGCTTGTTCTTGCTGTGAAGAATGAAGAAATGAATCGCTTCTGGTATTTTCACCAGGATTGCTAGATGAATAATTTAAAAATCAAAAATTCTTATTTTCAAAATTAGAATTTTTTTCCGAAATCGAACACTAATCAGAAAGAATAACTTATTGCAAACTAAGGACTATCACGTTGACATACTTGCACAAAAGGCATCACTTTCTTTCTTTGTTTATCGATTCGTACTTTGTTTCCAAAAATATTTCATAATAAAGAAAGACAACACAACCATTATATAGGTTAGAGTAAAAGACCGTATACTGTAAGCTAAGGAGATTGATCATAGTTGGATCAAATGAATGCTCTTACTGTCAAACCAATTAACTAAAAATATGAGCTGCCAATAGCATACACACACCGAGCCATTCGAGTTTCAAAAAGTTTACAGGTTGTTATGTGCTCATACTCTGAAATTTCATTAACGCGTAGTTTTCTTTTTTCGTCATGGTTGGATGGAACAGGGTCATTTACATAGGAAAAAAACAATATTACGCATATTAAAAAGCAATTTCTACGATATCTAAGATAGCATTTTTTGTAATTATAAGAGTAATAAACAAAAAATTTTAATTGCTGTCAAATTGCTTTTGAATTTGTGTAATATTGCTTCTTCTTATTTAAATAGTTGTGTTCCATCCAGCCATGACGAAAAAAGAAAAATAAAGGTTGATGAAATTTCGTACTATCAGCACATGACAATATTGTAAATATGTTAAAATTTAAACATCTCGACCTGTGTACGTTATGGGCAGCTCATGTTTTAAACTACTATCTGTCCAAAATTAAAATGGTCTCCGCCATTTTTTGAATAACTTGAGAATAGAAGCAGCTAGCGAGCTACGGTTTTCATCAATCTAAAGAGGGGATATCAGGACGTCTTTGTCTCCGATATTGTATAAGAAGAAACTATTTTAAAATCCACTGTTTTTGTGAAATATATCCGTCATTAAGATGAAATTCTCACAAAAAAATCAGAAAATTTGCTTAAAAACTAAGAAAAATGCATACTTTTTCAATGAGTAAATTGAGAATTCGATGTGCTTTACCTTAGAATGTGTGAAAATAGTCATTCGAATTATATCTTAAACTATCGATCTGAAATTGCTCTATCTAAATAACATATCAAAATCAAAATTTCATCCAAATGGTAAGACATTTTCATCCATATTTTCCAATGTTCTGCAGATATAATTGATTTGAAAATGCTGTCGTCTTATACAATATCAGAGAAAAAGACGCCCCAGCATCGCCGCTTTCGACTGGTGAAAACCGCAGCTCGCTATCAGCTTCCATTTTCAAATTATTTAAAAAATGGTGGAGACCATTTTAATTTTGTATAGATAGTAGTTCGTAGCGGAAATGTCCATGTGTGCTGCACAGATACATACTTGAAGAATCCTCAGTACTAACTTATGTATGTTTTTTTACGTTATTTTAGTACTTTGTTGGGCGAAAAACGTTTTGACCTATCAATAAAAACCCTACCCATTTCGTCCATTGGACTTTTTTCGACACAAGAAAAGTTTGCCCGTTGGTCTAAAAATCCTGATTACGCTGCTAAACGAAAGACTATTATTTTGTGCGAACTGTATCTTTCAATAATAGGAGGACACGGCAAATTTCTGCGCATCATTATACAATGAATGATACAAGCTGAAGAATATGATTTCAACAATCCTAATTAAATATCAATGATGTATAGCTAAAATTCAATTTTACACATTCAATTAAAGAGATACAACTGCTAGTATGATGTTGGGTTGAACTGTAAAATTCATTTTACTATGAAAAGTACTATAGGATGTGGATGTATATGAGTCATTCTGGTGTCTATTGTACCGTTTGGCCGTCAAGAATGGCCTTGTTTATTTCTCAATTACTGTTCGGTCAAATTGCTCGAAATTAATACCAAAATATCTGTTAGTCATGCTCTACTTATGCTGCTAAAATCAGGTTTCTATCTTTTATCGTTTACGAAAAATGCTGAAAATAAACTACTTTTTCCACCTTTTTTGTGCATTTTTACTATGGTTCCAAATTGGTTGCTTTTCTTTCTGTGTTTTTTTTAGCTTGAAACAAAAAATGTAAACGGTGTTTAATTAGTTTTCTTATATCGATTTTGAATGCTCTATCTGCTCATAACATTATTTTCCCTCCAGCTATTGTCATTTCACAGAAATTTGACATTCTATAAATGGTTCCAGAAAATATCAAAAAAAGTGTCCCACCCCCTTTTGAATCTACTGTGAAACCGATAAACATTTTAATTCAAATTTTATTAAATACAAAGGTTCACCAATTTGTGCACTATCGATTGCTGAAAACCGCAATTTACTACCTTTTACCGTTTTTGAATAATTTACATCTTAGTGTTGTCAACTGGCATGTGACACACAATTTGTCCCACCCCCTTTTGCCTATCTCCTGACCAAACTACAAGGAGTTAAGAGCTGATTTTTATATCATAAGTGTCAATCAGTAAGCACAACTTATGTTGTAAATATCAAGGCTCTAACTCATTTCTGAAGATAGTTATTAAAGAAATACAGTCAAATGTCCCACCCCTTTATTTTGTCCCACCCCCTTTTGCCTCTCTCCTGACCAAATTACAAGGAGTTAAGAGCTGATTTTTTTATCATAGGTGTCAATTGGCAAGCATAACTTGTGTTGTAAATATCAGGGCTGTAACTCCTTTCTAACGAAAGAAATTCAAAAATATAGAAAAACTACCTTTTCCTATGGTTGTCCCACCCCTTTTGCGTATCTCCTGACCAAACTACAAGGAGTTAAGAGCTGAGTTTTTTAACACAAATGTCAATTGGTAGGTACAACTTATATTGTAAATATCAAGACTCTAACTCATTCCTGAAGAAACTTATTAAAAAAATACAGTGAAATGTCCTAGTCTTTAGTTATACCACCTTTCTACCTGACTGAAAATTCGAAAAAAAATTTGTCTAAAATTGATTATTTTTTTGCTTCTTCTAGATATGTAACTCGAAAGGAAATATTTTAAAACTCATAAGATCATGTTAATTCCTGTATGTCATCATTTTTCACTCAAAAAAAGACAAAAGGTCCCTTAATGAGTTCCTAGAAACCTTTCGGTCTCTAAATCAGACAAAAGACAAGAGTGGTAGTTTGCAAAACCATTTTTTCTTATACTTCGAAGTATTCTCTATCAAATGGTGACACTTTCAAGTGCAGCCGTTTACTTTTTGTTTTGATCATTTTTTCAAAAAAAAACGGTACAATAGACACCAGAATGACTTATATATGTAGTTTTAGTTAATAGCATGAAAGTGAAGACAAGAGCATCACGTACATTAATATCCTTATCCACATCCTTATATCAATTTTATCTTTGCTTTTTATGACGACATGAAACCGTTTCCTACTAAGCCAGATCAAATATTAACGCTTCTAAATGACAGTTTATGATGAGAATGGAAACTATACAACTGAATGAACAGTAAGTATAAATTATTGATTCTATTTTTTTTTCTTCTTTTAAAAATGATTATTCAACAAGTGAATATAATAATAAGTTAAAATAAAATACGTTTAAGATGTTAATTTTTAGCTAATTATATAAGAAAAAGGGAGTAGAAGGAGGGCGATGACAATGAGGAAGATCAAACAATATGTTACGCCCAGATGAAAATTCAACATGATTCCATCAGACTCGACGAGACTTAACTAAAGAGTTCTTCATTCTAGGAACTACTCGATGGTGCTTGTTATCAATGCTGATATTCTATTTACTCAATGACGCATTTGCAAATAGTTAACATTAATAAGATAAACTTCCTGTTCCCACTAGAGATGTTCTTACATTTTACCAATGTATCTCTCTTCAATATAGATCTTGTCAACCATTATGAAAATTCCGAAAAAAAAGCAAAATTTCAACGTATACTTGCCTCAAGATTGTTTCATACGTGCAACTTTTTCTATCTTGTTCTTTTATAAAATAGAAAATGCCAAATATATGTAGTTCTGTTGTAAGAAGGTCAATTTAAAAGGCATGACTTACTCTTTCGTTTTCTGTAGAATTCAATATCTTGTTTAATAATGCAGAAAAAAAAGAGAAAGCAGAATAAGAATACATATTACTAACACAACTGCATTTGTTAACTTTGAAAGAAAAAAAAAAGATAGTAGGATGAAGTTAAATGTTATATGATAATAAAAGACAAAAAATACTCAATCGTACTATTGAAGAATAGAAAACATCATGTCATGACTTACCGTTAGACTATTGAATTAATATTAGTATTGATGGTACATGTTGATGCAGAACAAGAAAAGATTGCCGATTGATTCAATTATGATTGAATTTCTTCTCGTTCTCTGCTTTTCTTTTACATGACCCGTATTTTCTTCATTCTATTGGTACGATTTCGTGATATATCACGCCATTGATCAACCCGTCAGTGAATGAGAAAGACCCTTTCCAAGATATTGCAATGTTGAACAATAAACGACAATCTATCGTTTACTTGTAAAAGTCTCATTACTATTAAAATAAATTTTGTCACGTTTGACATTAGAACTTCAATAGGCAATACATAAAAAATAGTGTATTGACGAGTGATTTTTTTTTTGAGCGGAAAATGGAATTCGACTATGTTCAGTTGAAGATCATCTATGACCAAAGAACGAAACAAAAACAAACAATTTTATCTCAAATCAGTGACCAATGACCTTCGATTGAAAGTTTTTGAAAATATAAGATTTCGTATAGGATTTACGTTTTTTTAAAGTATAGGATTTTTCCTATTGGTGTTGATGAAAGTTTTGATTTAGTTGAATCTACTGCATGATACTTGGTGTACTGGAGTAGTAGTCAGAACACTATAGAATTGCTATGCACTAAAACGCGATGATTAATTATTTATATAAAAATATAGACACTTTCAAACGCCATCATCTCGGCAAATGATATGTCTTTTATCAGGCATCAGCACATTGAAGAAAATATCGTTCATAAATTCCAATAGGATAGAAGAAAATAAAGTTTTATTGTGATTTCGAAGTTATATTTGATCTGCAAAGGCTACTCACAGTTGTCTTTTGATTATTAATGTTTTCAAATGTGAAATTAGACAAGATATCAGCTACAATTTACTATCTATTCTATTGTCTATATTGTATTTTCTTGTTATTTGTAAACATTCATGTTGTCAAACAACCATTTACTTTCTCATTGATTGCCAATATTAATAGTTTGACATGAAGTAGGTGTAAATATTATAGACGAGATACCTTGTTTTGATTGTGTTTTGAAAGATTTTGTATTCAAAAAAAAATTTACAAATCCTAAGTATATTAATTTATTGGAATTTTTAATATTTTCTTTACAATACTTCAGCTTTGACTTTCAATGGAAGAAATCGTACATTTTTGTTTATAACGAAGTGTCTATATGTAATCATCAGCTATTTTTCTATTAGATACTGACATTAGAACAGTCAAAAAATATCTAAACACATTTGTTGTAATTTGTAATCTTAATTCGATAACTACAAGAAAGAATAAAATATTGTGGCTTTCGTCAGTAGACAGACTGAAAATGTCTTTGACTTATCATCAAGTAATCCGGACGTTTTTCTTCAAACACTGTCAATACGAGCGTCTTTTTTATGAAAAATTCGATCTTACATCTACTATATTCTGAGGCTCTCTTAAAACATTGATTGCTTTATTTTTTCATATCGACATGTGCTTCACCCTTTTGTGAAAGAGAAAGAAACCTTGTCTGAGAGACTCGAAAAATACACTAGTTTCAAGAAAAGCCTTCTGAAAGCTCGGAAAAATAATTTAAGTTACTGATTCTTATATATAGAACTGAATAGAGAATGCGGACTGATCGTTGGCAACAAAGAAAAGTTCAAGCTTTTGTTTTCAGAAAATTAAAAACGATACATTTTCAACAGCTTGTGCACACATAGTAGACGACTCTATATATTTGAAAGAGAGAAATATCTTTAAACAATGTTGATTTATCTCAGAGATCTAAGAGCATCAGTAACATCAATCATTTTTAGTATTTCATGAATTTAGTAGGAATAGACTGGTAAAAAAAGGAATTATTTCAAAGAACTTTCCTTATAAATACAATACTTTGAACTTTAACTATATTTTGCTTAAAAAGTAAAGTTTCTTAGAAATAAAATTGGTATATTCTTGGACATTTTCTTCGTTTTGGGCAAAATATAGGTTGTTTAGGAAAATCAATCGAATACAAGTAAAAAATCGAGTGAAACCAAAGTATTGTCTTTGTCCGTGAACACCTCAACCAGTCTATAACCATTTCGAATTGCCGATATTATTGATCTAACCGAGCAGAAACTAATCAGAGATATGGAAGAAGCTAGTTTCTCATTATACGAGACTGAATTTGAGAATTGTTTGTAACTCTTTTTAAGAGTTATCAACGGATAAATCTACGAAGCGATTTATAATTATTGAGTCCCTAGCCTTTCGGTAACACAATCCAATGAAGAAGATATTTCGAAATCCGTGGACTACTTCAATGATCTTGATACACCGTGGATATGAGCGTCATTGTGGGTGAGAGAATACTCTCACATCTTATATCCACAAATCAGTCGAAAGTCCAGTAAATCGGTCATAAATCTATGGTAAAGGTTCTTAGAGAATAACCCTTTTAGGTTTTTGTTAATCTTACTGAAGTCTTCTTCTCAGTTCAATATGATCTCAAACGATGGATACCAGTTGGAGTAGGTCCCTCGTTAGTTAATTAAAAAGCGACGAAGCTATTCGGAAGAGCATGTTGGGTCTATAGATCTGACAGATCCAAATGTAAAATTTCCAATTCAACATGTGCACGTACCAATGCACACAACATTATCAGAATTTGATTCCAATCAGCACATTAGAAACCTTGCCAGTATATGCATACATCTAATTCCACTTAAACCAAGTACTAGCCTCTTTTTGTAGTTATCCTGATGCTCAATAATTGTAGGATACTACTCTCATGCTGCATCAGCAATTTGGTTTCTAATATAGTTGATATTATAACGACATTCCTATAGTAATAATGTAAGATATTATCCCAGGATTTCAAACTCCGATATGTATGCAATTATCCACAGCATACTAAAAGCTATCTATGCATAAAAAAACTATACCAAGATTTTTTCTAATAATAGAGAATAGAGCATGCAAGCTAGCTAGCCGATAGTATCTGTGTAAAAGTTTGATAGGTATTGTATATCATGTATATTTTTATAAAGTTACGTTCGACATTTTCTGCTGCATCGAATGATATATAATAGTACTTTCTTCGGCTAATTTTGTAGCATAATACTTAACTCTAAAGCTATTCTACACACTACAACTTATATACCTTGTGTATTCTTAACATACATAGGGTTAAATTAGTAGAAAAAATAATACACTAGTGAAAACAAATTATGTGCGTTTTGATCACATTTAATAATGTATTGTCATAATAACAGTTTAATGCATTATCTAATTGTTGACATTTCTTGTCATATATTTGTATGAATGCAAATCAATCCGAACTCTAAGCTCAATCATCAAATTGAACTGATACCAATTTATGGGGCCTCATATGGATCCCTGCACATCAGTCAGGTAATCAAATGAGTATGATTTAGGCAAGAAGATACTTGAGTTGTATAACATGGACTGAAGATTCATAGAACTGCGATTTCGGCTTTTTGAATCCGAACAGATGTGAGTATTGACAAGAGTTGACAGACAAAGAGGAGAAAGGTCTAAAAATTAAAAAGTGTTGGCATGGTATGTAAATACTTATTACAGTGGAAAAAGATAATGCATATAATATTTTACCTATCTATCATCGACATTGCGTCGAATTTCAAGTAAATTGATTGATTTTATCTCAATCTGGTAAAGAAAAATCAGGGATAAAGATTAACGCTATTATTTTGATCCATTTTATCGACCAAAGCTTAGTTTGAAATATTTTCTTCTTATTGAACCCAAAACCCTGTCAACACAAATACAATGATATTTTTAAATTATTATGCTACTACTACCATGATAGATTAAATCTATTCATTCCAAAATCAAAATAGACATCATAAGTATATGCCTACATTATGATGGTTTTTGCTCTTGTATTCCTGGATCTTTATTGCTATTGATAAATATAATAGAACTAATCATTTAGAAACAACTAGTAATAAGCTATTCTTGTGTAATGATATAAATTAATTTATCGAATAACTAATTCTATATAAAAAAAAAAAAACATTGAATAATCTGAAAACAATAGGATCACTTTAAATCCTATTAATCATAGGACTAAGTCACACCTAGAATTGAGCAAAGGTCGTCTCATTTGATTTATCAAGACTGTCGTGAATCAATCGATATTTTTTTAAATAGAAATTAGTGTCAACTTTCTTTTATTTTAACATATATATTTTAAAAAGATAAGAAAGAAAAATGTCTTTACGATCCTTTTTCTTGACATAAACAATATTGAAAACAATCTGATGATATTGAACAATGTCCTGATACATGTCCTGCATTAATACATAAATTATTACATTGATCATTTTCTTGATCTGTTATTCCATTTGCATTATCAGCTTGTGTACATTTTGAAGGTTCATTATGTAAACATGTATCAGCATGTACACTGGATTTTTGTATAATTAATAAGAAAGTAAAACAAAGTATTAAAAAAAGAATCAATCGATTCATTATTTCACAGATTATATATATCTAAAAATAAAACAAAGCTTAGATGAAGCGTCAAGAAAGAAAGTTTTCTTTAATCAAACGGTATGCTTCTTACTGTAAATAATACCTTTTATCAAATTCAAACTACCCTTATATATATGTTTGTTACCATCTTCAAAAATTACCAAATGGCCTTTTGAATAAACAGAGATAAAAAATCAACAAGAAACTACGCACATGTCATATCTATCATAGAAAAAAAAACGCAAAGTGCAGATTGATAATAAGTATGACCGAGTTTAAAAAATAAGAAACGAAATCAACTCTTTACCCTTTTTGATTCATTCAAATAATGAACTGACTTCAGAATTACAAGAAAAAGAAGTATAGTGTAGCAAAAAATCCATAGTATACAGAAGATTTTATTTATCTCAACCGCAGAGAATCAGTATGCACTTAACCAATAAAAATTCAGTAGTAATACTAGTAAAGAGAACAGTGAAGTTGATTGTCTGGTAAATGTTTATGATTCAAATTTCAAACCTTCACATATATTTTCAAATGTAAAATCAATAAATATAATCTGTGTGAAGCTACCACAACACGATTACTCACCACGACGAGTGAAAAATTACCACTCGTCAAAATGTAAGTCAATCAAAAATCGATAAATAAAAACATGCCACCATGAAGGACAAACTCATGAATATGGTACTCCATAGTATCACTAACGTTAATATCACTAGCTAAATCGCAGTTGATGTTCTCGAGTGACCCAGAAGATATGGGTTAGTCCTTATAAAAAATTAGTTTATGTATAATCTGAATATTTTTTTTCTGTATTCATAATAAAAGGCTGTGGTAAAACTTTTCTGCCACACTGTTCGATGATTTATTTTTAAAAAGTTGAAAATGCAAAGGTGCACTACTTAATATGAAAGAGCAAGCCGTCAGCTTTGTAAACTGCATTGTAGCATGCTTAAAATATGTGCAAATCAGATATCTGGTGTTATAAAATTCCTTCTATCCTCTAGTATCTCACAAAATTCGTCAAAACATAGCATTACTAAAGAAACTCCGATTTCTTTACGGACTGAACTGAATCGGTTGTAAAATTTCACCTTTACATTTAGCCGAATCAAAAGAAAAGATGCTATTGAGTGTAATAAGACTATTGAATATCTTCTGATTAAATACAATCAGCATGCTATGTCTCTGCAAATAAACATAGTAGAGTTCGAAATACCCTGCTTTTGCAGAGCTGTAAGGATTTTTTAAGCATTATTCCAACATTTACTTGAAAACTAGTACTTCTAAAGGCAACCGTAAAAAGATAATTCACTTTCAACTAATTCTAAAATTCTTATTGATAATTTGAGGCATATAGAGACGTATGACTATTACAAAGTAACTAGTTATATGCTCATATCATATTATACAAAAGATTGAAATTGGAAAAATTAGCATTTTGCTTCGAAAAACTAACCACGTTGTTGTCGTTTAGAATTTTGTTTTGCGGACGTCAACTTTCATGTTTCGAATGGAAGAGTTCACACAATTTATCTAACACTTTGCACCGAATCTTTACAAAGCGATAGGGTATTGCAATCACAACTAAAGAATTCTGCTTAAAAGTTATTTATCCTTCCTGGAGCACCTGAAATGTCTAAGTTTTGTAACTTTTTCGTCCTAATTCTCAAGCTCAAATGTCGACCTTATGTTTCACATGAATATATAACGAAAATAGAAATGGGCTTCCAGCTAGGCAAATCTATTTCTCAATCCCTGAACTTCCAATAGAACGGAATGTCTATACTTTCCGACATATAAGATGCGACAGTTAATTTAAAATCATTCTGAATCTCTCTAATGCATTACATTGACAACCAGCATCGGCCTATTTATCAGAGCATCCTCATAAATATCCATTGCCGATCTTCAAACTGTGGAACATTACAGCAGAAAATTGCCACCGAACTTTGAAGTCTCACCATTTGGATTCTCATCACTACAAGATGTGAACTAAGAATACAAACCAAGCACATACTTTCCTAAACACATTACTGAAATACGACAACAGCTAAGGATTATAGACAATCCAGTTCCCAAGAAACGACGTCGAACTCCTGCTCCCATGCGTTTCAACGTTTCAATCACTTTCAACCTATCTAAGAGATCACTCTAAAAATCTTCCGAAACATTTCACTTCCTTTCATTAAGTCCAACGCCAATGTTGAATAACTTTTCCCAATAAGATACTATTTTATTCTAAATCCAAAGGCACACAACTAACATCTAAGCGATCAAACAAACGGTAGACGCCGTTCCTGAACTCGACACAACTGAATTCTGTTAGAACTCTTACAAGTACTTTCATCAGTGCAAAACTGATAATTCAGAATAAATTCTAATCAATACACTACATCATAGGCTTTTCTATTCATTGAGTTACCATTACTCTATCGGTGATGAATCCGAACTTAATGACACTCCCATAACTGCCAACCTGCAAATTTCCTGCAATCCTCTAAGCCACCTTCCCAATTTTTAAAAAATCTGCTGATACACAAAAACCACGAGAATATAAACAGTATACAACACTACTTCCCTTATAAAGTAAATAGAAGAATTTCGTTTTTGCAGAAGTGTATTTTCGGTTATTCTATAGTAAACATATTTGAAACATCGCGCAACTTTTTATGACAATTTTCAATAATGGTAACTATTCTGAGATCTTGTTTTTTCTTTATTGACATAATAAAGTCTTTTGAGTTAATTTAAATAGTGACATCAGTTTTAGTTGTATTTATCCTGAATTATAAATGTATTTTAATTGATTACATAAAAAATAAATTTGATGAGAGTAAAAAAATTCATTTAGTAAAACCAACTCTCTATTGTTTAATTGATATCGTTGGTTAGTATCATGATTGAAGAAATTCTAATTGAACATAAAAGATAAGTAATTGTCGAGTGAATTCTTTAATTGATTTCAAGTGATATAATTGACCTAAAGTAATTTCAATAATAGAGAGTCATCTGTTTACATCTTGCTTATTTTGCTGAATTCGATTTTGGGTGTGGGTGTGGGTGTAGATGAAGTTATACGATAAACCCACCCCCGATTAAAATCACTTAGTGCTACATCAAAAGATTATTTAGGTATATTAGTATTAACACCCATTAATAATTACAATAAATACGGTAGTATAAAAGTTGAATTTGCTCTTGATGGATCTTATGTGGATGGTGAAGTTGATGCTGATATAAATAATTTATGTATTGGTGGTGGTATGGGTATATTACCACGTGATCGTAGTGTTCCATTTAGTCCACCACATATATTAAGACATCTTGTTAATAAAGAATATGCATATGTTAGACAACGTGGGTTAAAAATTGGTATTGCAAGATTATGGAAATTACATAATCGCGGATGGAAAAGTAGCTACAATACCATGTTCACATCCAGATGCGCCAACAAAATGTAAAATACCATCAGGTCGATGGATGATACTTAAATGGGCTTGTTGTTCTTTGGCTAGAGAGATATTATCGAATAATACGGCTTAATCTTTTTCTAATCTTATTTTTGATACATGTTTCATCATATATGATTCTACTATTTTGTTTGTGCAATTTTATTCTAATGTATTTTCACGTGATTCTTGCTGTATCAAAGAGGAAAAAGCGAGACTTCATCTATTTCAAAAAAAATTGAAGCGTGAGTGATGTAGCATGTCAGCGTTCCATTCCCAAAGGAACAGAAACACATCTCAAACTTGCATTCTGCAGTATTTTTTCAATGTACGAAGGTTGGTAAACTTTGTTACTTATCCTTTCCTGCGAGAGCGTTTCTCGTTCCTGGAATCGTGGAATGCATAACATTCTCGCATGAAAGAGTGTTTCAGCTCGCATTTTCCATGGACAAAATGAGATGACCTGATATTTTGAATTTGAGCACGACTCGGCTGTTTCTTTTATTTGAGATATATAAATTGAAAATCAAAAATTTTTCTCCAGCTGGCTATATGAACGGTAGGATGGTTCTGTGACGTTCTCTCTCTCTTAATTATAATTTAGATTGCAATTCGTTACTCGAAAATAGCGGTTATGATACTGTTCTTTTTTCACGCTTTTGTATGCTTTTTTTTCTAAGACCGAGTAAAGAAAATGTGCACATAAATTTGTCAGAAAAAAATTACAGCACGCATCCATACAAGAAGGGAAATAGGGTCTTGTAAAAAGCGAAAAAAAGCAGACAGAGGAAAGAAGAGTCGAAAAATGGCTCTCTTTTACGAACATACTTTAATGGGTGCCTTAAAAATCGTGGTTATTATGAGAGTTTCATAAAAAGAGGAAAAATAGCATTCGGAAAGTTTCTATTGCCATCACACGTTCATACTTCAGTTGAACAGGATAGCTGAGTTACTGGATACACTCTCATGCTATTGTTTTATTTCGCATATTTTTCGAAGATGATTTGCCAATACAGCAGCTATAGATATGTTAAGAAAAAAACGTGGTTGATTTGATAAAGAGAGATTCAGCTGCTGTCTGATAGCGATAAACTTTATAGGCTGTTATGAGTAAGTAGTAGCGGCAAGACGTTTGTGTACTTGGAGATGATTCAAGTTTCTTGACCACTTTATGGTTAATAAATGTTTATCTTCCTCGATGAGACGTAGAAATTCTTTTAAAATTGAATCAGAACGACTCAAAATCAACTGCTTTTCATCATTGGTAGTAGCTTCTTTCCATTCTTCTCGCAATTGAATTGACTTGAGAGTATTCTCATAAATTGAGTGAAATTGTGTGGTGTCTTCATCAAATTGTTTAATAGATTTATATCGCTTAGGACAAGGCAATACACGACGTTTAATCGTTCCTGAATAAAATGTAGCTAGTTCATTGTATACTTCCAATACTTTTCTATATATCAGTGATGGCTTATTGGATGGAGCTGCTTTCTTCTCTGCCGTTGCCCTTAGCTGCTGTGATTGTATTAATATTTCATCTACTATTGTTTACACTAAGCCTTGAAAACTACATTTCTCCTTTCATTCGGTGGGTATGACATTAACTCCATGATAAGCTCCTGCCAACATGCCATAAATTGCTCCCACTGTATCAGCATCATCTCCTAAATTTACTGCTTTTAGTGCACCTTCTTGAAATGAATTTGTGTGATAAAATGCCCATAGTGCTGCTTCCATTGTCTCGATAACAAATCCTGAAGCTTTGATCTGAGGAGGATTACAATGTTTGTATGAACCAGTCATCACTGCAAGAACAGATGGTTCAAGTGGTGAGATTCCTTTTGTCGTCCAATAATCATTCGGTAAACCATCCGGAACCTATAATTCCTCACTATTCAATAGCTTCTCTTTAGTACTTCCTTGTAAAGCACCAATGATTAAAGCCGTGTATACTCTACAACAATCTAAACATAGTAATGAAGCATGCGTAATCTTTGATGAATTAACTGCTTCGATCATAGCATTAAGAGGATCTTGATGATAAAGCAAGGGAATCGGTGCTAATCGCATTAACGAATCATTACCAGATGCATTGTTGCTTGCATTTCCATAGTAAGCAGTAGCACTAGTTAATTTATTACTTTCAGCTTGATCATAATGAGAAATAAATGGGTTTAGGGCAGTGCGCACAGTTATTCCTATATCAAAACATTCTCCAGTTGATGATAAATAACCAGTGTCATACCAACGTCGATATAAATTCATTTGTACAACTGATGGATGAATAAGTGAAGTATCGCTGTCACTACCCAATAAAGCGACAGCTAAACATAATGCCATTGAGCCATCATCAGTAAATTGGCCAGGCTTTAACTTAAAATATTAATATAGACTTGTCGATAGAAGTATCTTATTCAGATAAATATACATGTATATATTTTGCTCTCACGATGTTATAATCATCATCGTTATAAATGTATGTAATGCTGACGGTCGAAGCGGATGATAAATTTCTGTTTGTCTTCTTCTCACGATACGCATCAAGTAAAATTTATTTTGATGTTCTTCAAAGATTAAAATATCTCATTTTATTTAAGTAGAATATGTCGTATGGGGAAAATATGAATAGGTACATGAATTCTGCCAAAAACAATGGATCTTTAGGTTTTACTAATGCAAGAATAGGTCCTTTCATATTGATTATTAATTAATAATATTTTTACTTCGAATGAAAGCATAAACAATTATTTCCAATATTTTCTTGCAGTAGAAAACGAGTATCTGACTTGTAACACAATTGAGCAATATTTCAGTGTAGTAACAATTTGATAATGTAAAAAGAACATAATGTAATTTGATTTGCATCACATAATTCTAGTAGACATGCTTTCGAACATATTGATCATCATTATTTTCATGGTAGCAGTGTGTAAAAATTGTCAAAAAGAAAGTAAGAGGAAAGATTTTACTGCAAGGACTAACAATCAACAGAAAATAGTCAAGAATTAACGGATCAGATGATATGTCTGTAAGTTCTGAATCAAGGCACAGATTCTTTTAATTAGTCGCGAAAGTTTTGACTTAAGAATACTTTCAAATTTCGTCGACAGACTTTTCGTCGAAAATATTTTGTAGAAAAGCATTTCGTCAACAGAATATTTTATTGGCAGTATATTTTGTTGACGGAATGTTTCGTCAAAAGATAACTGTGTTATTTTTCTCATTCTTTTATCGTCAGGACAAAATTTCAAACGTGTCTTCTAATTATCTTTCTATGATTGACTAGAAGCAAAAGTTGTTTCAATGAAATGTGCTCTTCCATAAAATGTTGTGTCGACCAAGATTTTTCGACAATAATTTCTCGACAATCTGACTATCAACAAAATTCATTTCGATCAACAATCTAATTATCCTTGCAAATGGGAGTCAAATTTGGACCGCATGTTAAACAAAGTTTTTTTTTCAAAATTTCTGTAAATAAATTTGACTACATTATATTTTTTAGATCTTTTTTAGCTTTATTATTCTGATCATGTTGGTTAGTTCTCTTTCCAAATAAACAAATATCAATATCTTATGATTCATAAATTTTCGAAAATAATTCAAATGACATCACATTTGATCTAAACTATAAAACAGAACGAATAAAGAAATCAACTCGATAGGTTTTCAAAATTAGAGTATTTCTATGCATACAATAAAATATTTTTCATACGGAATAGGCTTGTAATTTTTCTAGCGCCAACTTTATAAATTCAAATGCATGATTAACACTGTTGCTGACACGAACATTCGATTCAATTCACAAATATATATCTGAATTACCACCACCACACAATAAAATAAAGCAGATAGTGACTCATATACAAACTCTAAAAAAGAATCACATATTTACCTCTACTGAAGACGTCAACTTGTCAAAGACAGAATAATTATATCACATCCAAAGTTAGAAAATATTATGACAAAACTCATTAATAGAATTTTTTTAGAGTTTAGTTAAGAAGATATTTTACTTACGAGTAAAAAATTTTTAGCAAGATATAAGTCACTAGCACTGATTAACATTGTATCAGTGGTTGTAAGTGTATTCTTTCGTTACAATCATCTAATTTTTAAGGATGTCTGAATGAATATCTCAAGCAAAACTACCAACTAATATTTTGAGTCTTATTTGTTCGCCTCAACTATTGTCCATAAAAATTCTTTATTTCTACATTATTTTTATTTGGAACACTTTTATCTTATCGATAGATCATAAATCCAATGTTTATCACTTACTATTGCGATGAATGTTTGTCATATTTTCAGTAATCATCGAGTTCAACGAAACTCAATTGACTACAATAGTTCATATTATAGCATGAAGTATTCCAACTAATGTAATGCTTTCGTCTCGATCCCTGACTTTCTCTAGAGGTTA